GCTGCTGAAGTAAAAGTTATTAGGGAGCAGAAAATGGGACCGGCTGCCACCTCGCTCGCTCTCCTGTGTTTATGTTCTCTGGGTCTGAGTGTTCCTACAGGGACGACCAACGCTACTCCAACACAGGTCAGCAACTGCATGTGTGTGTCCAGTGTGTTAACTTACATTGCTTATAGGAGATGTTGCTGTTACTGTTGTATGTTTGGGTTTGTTTGGGTAAAACACTGCGTCCATTCACAATTCTCTGAGTGTGTGTGAGTGAAGGAGGAACTCGTGTGCAGCTAAATCAAGTAAAAGATCACAAATATTAAGATAGATTTAACTAAATGTTGCGCTAGAGATGGTTAAAGTGCTTAAGGAAGATACAGTATAAAGTGAGTGGTGTTTGCTGGCTGATCTACTGTAAGTGGTGATGTAATGGATGGATGTCATACTCCAGGCATGTTAATAATAATAATGGTGCCGTGGTAAGACTATTAATGAGGATACATCCAGAGGAGCAGGTTTTTCCTCTACTAAGACTTCAAAATAAAACACCCAACTCCCTCTGTGAGCCCATGAGCCACTGACAGAACATGTCGATACATGTGATTATAATGCTGTTACTGATCAAATGTACATAGTTTCAAGCTAAAATTGATTATTTGATTAAACACTAAAGGGTAAAGACAAGATTGCAAACACTGCATACAATTAAGATTGTTGAGGATGAAGACACAGTAAGTATTTACATTGTGACCCTTGTTAGAGAAGAAAGAGGGAAATCTTAACCCCATAAGACTCATCCCTAAATCCCCCACTAGGGGTCGCCAAAGCTTCACAGGTGGTCGTGAGGCCTTCTTGATTTTAAGGGATTAAAACCAAAGTTTCTGGGACAAGAAATCACAGAATTTGTCAGAATAGAAGCTGAGTATTTATCTATGATTGTTAATCATAACACAGACAGAGAAAACCTCCCTAAAAAAAACAGGAACATTTATCTCTGTTCAAAATTCATCCAGACCTGCTCTCATCTTGTTCACTGTTTGAGTTCATTGTACAGTTTATCTGTGCTGTTATTGTTATGCATTGAGTATCATATGAAATATCCATAAAATATAGTCAGAGGTCTACTCAATGATAGAAAAAGGGAGTGTCCCTCAAGGAAAAAAGTTGAGAACCACTGATTTAAAGGAGGATTTAATGGCATCTAGCAGTGAAGTTTCAGATTCCATCTAACCGAACACCTCTGGCGTCTGCACTTCGATGACCTGGGAACGAGAACAGCCTGTAAAGTGTTTAGGAAAAACTATGGTGGCTTGCAAAACCTGACACACTGAACCTGAAACAACGACTATCGTAGATAATGACTATTACTAGAGGACAAACCGGCAGATCCTATATTGATTAATCATAAGGTAATGATTTTTCATCAATATCTGTGAATCGATCATCAGTTACTGTTTTTGTGCTCCCCAAATAAAGGGTTACTACAATAAGTAGTTCATCATTACTTTATTATCTTATTATCGCTTACTTATTAATGATTCAGCAATTATCATGTTGTTCCTGATTCATTCCTCACTTGTTTCTAAATGAAGTAATCATTAATTGGTTGACTGAAATTTGATTAGATTAAATAAATAATAAAATATGTCATTTGTTTTCTAGTAATTAATCAAAATGTTGTGTCGGAAAATTGGAAATTGTGACCAAAGGGAACAAGTTGAGCTCCAACTTTTTTTTGATGAAACTTAAATTGTTGGCAAACAGACGTAGTGTCATTTTTGAACTTTCCACTGTAAGAAAATGGAGATTTTGAAAATGAGCCAGGTCCAGATGGAGCTAATTTTGGATACAACCCTAATGAGCTTGTTTTGAGAGTCTGAAGCTGGTTTCCGATTGGTTGTGGGGACTCAAATACGCTAACAGAACTTAAATGTGGTGGAAACAGCATCTGAGAAACGTTGACATTGTGATTTCTCCCTCTCTCTCCCTGCATCAGGCATCCCTGATGGAGGTGAAGAAGGCGAGAGGGGACGTTCCTGATATTCTTCCAGAGCCTGAACCGGAGCCAACCAGCCCAGTGTCCGACTTTGAAAACTCATACAACTATGTCTGTGAGTCTCCATATTCACATCCAGTGTAGGTTTAAATAGACAAACACTATGTGGAAAATATCTTCACATAAATCTAGTCTAATAATTATATTCTATTCCTCAGTGTCCAGACTTGCTGGTATGGACCAGGCCATCCACAAGCTGAATGTTGGTCACTACACTCTGGATGTTAAAGTCAGCCAGTTGATGGATCGTCTGACCAGGATGGATGGTAACAAAAATCTTCTGATAACATCCACATTTCCATTTTTTTGGGGACTTCTTGTTGCCATAAAACCCATTCATACATTTTTTATAATCTATATTTCTTTCTTTCCTCTGTTTAAAAGTGAAAAATCAGCAGTGAGATATGTTCAGTTTTCCAAATTTTGCCAAAATTGATACAAAACAATAAATGAAAATTGCATCATTTAATCCCCCATAATAAGCTGCAATCGTATAATCAACTTGATAGAGGAGTTTCATTTGCCTCTATACTTCTTTAAGTTGAAAGAAAAGTCAAGAGAACGATGCTCTGTACTGACTGTCTCCTTGTTTTTGTCCCCAACATGGCAGCTAAAGTCGGGGAGCTGGAGGACAACATCCGGGAGGTCTACCAGCACAGCAAAGACAACCGCAAGGAGACAGGAAGACTGGAAGGTAAAGAGCTGAGTCGTCTGTAGAAATAGATTCATCCAGATAAATAACACTGTAGGTAATAATAGGTGATTTATTATTTCTCCGCTCTGTATTTGTGTGGAGGGATTGCAAATGCTGTTGGGTGTGAATATTAGACACACAAACACAACTCCACATTACTGCTAATAAACTCTCTGCTGTATAAAAAGAGTTGTTTGCGTACATTCAGCAACTTTATAAAGCAATAATATGTCAATGTTGTGTTTACAGCCTGTTGCACTGCCCCCAAGTGGCCAACAAAGGCATTAAGGGAGGTTTTTAACCGTTTTTTGTAAACATCTATCCTGTTTTTATCTCATTCTCAGGCTGCCAGAAGGGACGCAGGTTGGGCTACAAATGTTATCTCGTGTACAATAGCTACGAGGACTACGCCGGAGCGTCCAGGAAGTGCATGGAGCGCGGCGGCCGCATGGCGATGCCCCGTGACCGCAAGGAGCAGGAGGCCCTCGCAGACTACGTGAAGGCTTTCTTCAACCCGGGGAACTGGCCCGTCTGGCTGGGCATCAACGACCTGCGATCCGAGGGCATGTACCTCTTCGACGACGGGACGCGGGTCTCGTACTTCCAGTGGCGCAAACATTTCCTGTCCAGCCAGCCGGACGGAGGGAGGCGGGAGAACTGTGTGGCGATGTCGTCAGACGACGGCGACTGGTGGGACCACTACTGCGATCGGACCATGAACTATCTCTGCGAGTTTGATGACAGGGAGGCACTTTAAAATGCCAATTGATGATTATAAATACAATTCAATTCTATTTTCAAATAACTTATTTCCCTTTAAAAGACATTTTTAATATACCTGGATTGGTTGTATTCAAAGGTGAGGAAGTGTTTAATTCTCTATAGTGTGTTTTAATATAAATATCCAGTCCACTTCTATATGCAGTTAGTGTAGCATTGATTGAGCAGCGTCAGAAAAAACATTTGCCATGAAAATATTTAACGGTATTTTAGAGTTTTAGAAGGTGAAACTTGTCTCAAATTGCGCACAAATTCATGTATCGCTATTTACCGTAAAACTTCAGTTAAAAGCAGAGGCAGGTCTCCTTTACTAGCCTGACCTAAAAGGTCTCAATTAGAGGATTTTATAGAAGTTATTTGGATGTTTAAAACCTCTTGAAGCCCACAAAGCTGCTTAGATCGCCTACACAGATATACATGTTTAAACTTTTGACATAATTAATGTCTTAGATCAGTTAAGTTCTCCACAATTCAATCGATCAGTTAATTTTACGGAAACCACGAGCACCAAAGTATCAAAAGAATGATTGTTATTCATTTTTATACAAGTAATATTCACACTGGTTTAAATAGTATTATTAGTAGAATTAAAAGCCTGTTCCTCATAGACGCCTGTTGCAGATAAAGGAGCTCAGTGAGAAATAAAAGCTCTGGCTGTTACTTGAAGTTTTACGGTAAGTTCTGAAAGTACTGAATAAGACTTAATCAGATTATGTTAGTATTATAAATATTATATTACTTGTGCAGCTGCAGTGATATGAATGTAAACCAGTCAGGACTCTTATTCTAAATATTAGTTCAAAGTTTCCAACAAAAAAAAGGCGGGGAGAACCTGAAAAGCTGTAGGCACGTTCTCCAGAATCAGCACACACTGAACCTCTTGAAGATATAAATCAGTGTGTATTTGGAGGAACAGGAATTACACACTGTTATTTCTGATCTTTGAAGATATTTCAACAAAGTCTAGTACCGAGTGTTATTGCCCGGTTAGACTGCTGATTCTTGTGTGGCCGGAACATTTTTTAAGAGATGTTGTCTCACTTCTGAATCACCTTTCAACCCCCCCCCAACATGATGCATCATCCATCACTGTATGTAAATGTATCCTGAGTCCTGAATGAGAAAGTTGTACATAAAATGTTGAATGTAAATGTTCTTTCATAAATCTTTACTAAAGGTTGACACGGTTTACAGACTCATTTTATGATAAAAAAAAAAAAGAAGTGAGATTTGCCTCATTACCAGGGCTGGGTAACAGCAGCGGTTCCCAACCTGGGGGTCCGGACCACCACTAAGGGTCACCCCAAGCTTCACAGTGGAAGAAAACTTCAAACTTAAACTTTTTAAATGTTTAGATTATTATGTTATGTTGTACTCCCAAACTTTGAGAAACATATTTTTCTATAAATCTGTTTTCTATAGATAAATGATAAATACTGTCAAACTACATACAACTGTACAAGAACTCTGACAACATAAAACTAAAATTACCCACAATTTTTATTTAAAATCACGAACAGTCTGATACAATAAAAGCACAAAATTACAAATCTTACCAGGCAGTGAATGCCAGCTTTGAAACAGTCAGTTGGCAACAGAAAGGCATTAAGATTTGATTACTGAGTGATTTTAATGTCTCATAGTTTATGATCTTATTTTATTAATGGATATGAAAAGATCGGATCTGTAGCAGCTATCATATTATTTTACTGTAAAATCTGCAGGGTGCAGTTTAATCTGTATTAAAGGACCAGTGTGCAGGATTTAGTGGCATCTGGTGGTGCATTTGCAGACTACAACACACTTGCCTCATTCTCCTGGTGTCAGCGTGGAGGAGAAACTACAGTGGCTGTAAAACTCACAAGAGAAATAAAAAAAAATCCACCTAAATGTTACACACTGGACCTTTAAAAGAAGAAGAATAGAAGAAGTTTCATGAAGTAGGCAGTGGTAACGTCATATTGCATGATTTCTGGGTAATGTAGTAATTTGTACCCAAAATTAAAACCAGTACCTCTCGCTACCACCGCCAAAATCTTCTCAAAGCACCTTTAAAGTAAAATGAAATGTCTGATAAAGCCAATGATTCATATTTATGTGTATAATTAGGTTCCTGCAGTACCGCTCATTTAATAAACAATGCTCTCATCACAACACGGACACAACAAACGAAGATCGGTCGTCTTTTTCTTCACAGTTCTGCATCGGTCACGCCTCTTCATGGAGTCATGAGGGTGAGATGTGACGTCATAAACGTGCAGTCAAAGAGCCGCTCTTCCTCTGTGGTGTCAGCGCTGTTGTGTTAAAACCCAGACAACCCCCCGGACCGGATTCTACTGGTCCACTGCCTTCAGGATGTCCTTCACGGGCGGCCTGTCCAGAGGGTTCTTAGATGGGTGACAAAGAAGGACCTTCCCTTCTTTATCCAGCAAGAAGTCTCCTCCCAGCTGAAAAGATACGAACACATTAAAGCTTGAATTGAACGTTAAGGTACAACGGAGGCTTCGGGTTTACACACAATAATAATAATAATAATCAGGACTGAGGTGCATTTTCATATTTCGACTAATATTGTAAATATAAAACTACAACATGCGTCTTTCTGTTTATATTCAATGTGTATTAACTGGTTTACTTTCATGTTATTCTCACTTAATTATCTGTTATGTTCTATGTGTGTAACAGATGTGAAATATCTTTAGCGCACAAATGCTTAACAAATATTACTGTTTAAATATTACATTTCTTTGTTTATTGTTCAGTACGAAGAATTAATAAAAGCTCTCCTGTATTTTATAAGATACTGTTTATTAATCGATACCTATTCAAACCACTCAGGGACACAACGCACGCCACAAAAAGGGGCGTTACAGGAAGTTAAAACCACATATTTCCTCGGTTTTCGTCACCGATTCAACGTGTCGTCCGTTCGTACCTGGTAGATATCTTCCAGCAGGCGAGGGGGGACATCGGGGAGCTCTCTGTTATTGGTTTCGTACTCGGAGTACTGCAGCAGGCAGCTGAAACTCATCACCTTGGCGTAGGATGAGCCGAGGCCAAAACTCCTGTAAAGCTGTGGCACAGAGCAAAAGGACTGTGTTAGAGAAAGGGCACCATTTCCAGCAGGACACACGTGTTTGGCTGTTTTATATCATCCAAAGTAAAAAGGAAAGAACATCAAGCTTTGGATTTCAGCAATGTGAACTTCACTGGACGACCTAATCAGGTTCTTCACACACTTAATGATTGATGATTGCGCCTGTGGCTTGTGGAAAATCTCCTGTTTTCATATTTTGGTTGATTTGTTTCCAGCTCACATCTGCTAACATCTGGTGGTTGACTTGAATATTTTGGAGGCTCAGCTTACCGAGGCTTGTATGACACATCATCAAACAGCTGCTAAATCCTGTGTTTGTGCTGAGTCACAGCCATTTCCAGTTTCCATGAATTACAGCTTTAATTGTCATGCACCTGCTCACCAGCACTGGATATCAATGTGTCGACAGTTTTATATAATACAGACGCAGGTTTGATCCACTGTAATTAGATTATTTTGTATTAAAATTTTACAGAACAAGACAAATCCTAGTTTTTTTTAAATTCATAACATTTCCTCATTAAACAGTGTATAAACTCTTTATATTCTATATGTAGTGGAGTTCTTACTTTATCCCAAATGTTTCCAACAATGGTCAAACACTGAACCCATGATCTAGCGGCAGAAGTTACATATTGCACATGTAGTTTCAGTCTGTTGATTGAGGTGAAAACACACATCCTGACCTTCCTCTGAGGATCCAGCACCATGTCGAAGGTACATCCAGTCTGCTTCAGCCACAGTTTGGCTCCCTCCTCGCTGCCGAAGCAAACCACGACGACCGGCGCTGACCGAGCCTGGAGGAGAGCCTGCGGAGAGACAACATTAAACCAAATTAAACCCGAACACTTATTACGAGCCACTTTAAGAGCTCTCTTTTGCTTCTTGAGAATCCGTTATGCTCATTATTCCACATTTTTGTTCAACTGCCACCAATTTATCTCATATTAAAGTAAATGGGTTGTGGCCGCAAAGGCTGAGTGGAAAAAAATGTTGGAACTCTCTTGTAGCCAGAGCAGAATAAAAGATGTCCACACGGTTAAAGGAACACTTCAACATTTAGGCAAATGCTTTATTGCTTTGTCTTTGCTAGAGGAGACCAATCTGAGAGAGTCCGACCGATAGATCTGTAGGTTGATATTGGTATCGTAACAGTATCAGTGTATATGTAAACAGCTGTGACATATAAAACTATTAGGATTGATGCATTAACCTTCAAGTGGAGCTGATTTTAACTACTTATATACTGGTGGTGGGTTTGTAATAGTTAAAAACAATAAGATAAGATGAGATGAGTTCCTTTATCGATCCAGCGTAGGAGAAATTTAAATTTAGCACAGCAGAACAAAAGGATTAAAAAAGTACAACAAAATAAAAATATAATGCAAATCCCCAGCAAGCTCATTTTATTTGTTTTCATTTGTACATAAAATCTAAGACTGCTGTATATATTTATATTTAGTTGTTTAGTTTATTTGCCTCTGTAATGTGGCGGAGTGGAAGTGTAAGGCAGCATGAAACCGATCTAAAAACATGGCTGCTATTCTGGAATAAATATACTTTGTTCGGACAACAGAAAGAAACCCGAAGCTTGGTTACGGCTGATAAGCTCACAAAGAGAAAGTAAATATCAGAGAGAAGCCTGGAGAATTAATCACATCATAATAAAAGAATCATGTAAGGGGGCAGAAACAGCGTGAGGCAGTTGATCGAAGGCACACCGACCTTGCTCGCCTCCACCTCGGCCACGTGGTCGCGTCACGGCTGTCATCCAAAATGTCTGATGAGAAGCAGCAGCAGCTTCTGCCCCTGATCCAGGTACTGACCCAGAGTCACGCTCCTTTAAAAGCACACCACACAGAAACCGCCTCAGACACAACAACGACACAATAAACCGCAATTTAAAGCTCCCAACCTGAGGGTCCGGACCCCCACTACGGGACGCCAAAGCTTCACTGGAGGGTCAAGACCTTCTTGATTTAGATAGAAGACTTACTCAGAAGCTTATTAACTCAGTAATTTATTAATTTAAGTGAAGTTAAATTGTTATTTTTGAAGTTTAAATTGTTATTCAAGACAGCAAGTTCTTAAATAATTATTTAAACTTAAATAAGAAGAGAAGAAAAACACTGAATTAGTCCAAAACAATCCTATTAAAAATGTATAAGTGTAAAAAATACAAAGAGAGGATTTTATAAAACGCTAAAAATCTGATAAATGCATCTTTATTACAGAATTCACAGGAAATAATCTAAAGAAATGCTCCAAAATGTACATAAATTGCTCGTTTTACACAAACTTCCTGCAGTTTAGGTCCATTGTACAGTTTATTAGTTGTTCTCTACGTGTTGAATAAAATATGAAATCTCCATAATATACGTATATGATTTTGAAGGAAACACTTAACTGTTGCCTGGTAACCTTTTATTGTACTGCTGAGCAAACAAACTGGGGATTTTAATTAATAATAATTTCCATCCTGGTGCCGGTTGCTGTTAGACATTCGAGGCTCGGTTGTGAACTCACTTTCCAGTCCGAACGTCAGTGAACGCAGCATCCGGGCTCACGCTCTCTACGATCTTACTCCCCGACAGCAGTCTGTCCGTCACCTGCAGGTCTCTGTCCACACCCTCCAGGAAGGAGTCCCACTCCCCCTGCACACACACACACACACACACACACACACACACACACACACACACACACACACACACACACACACACACACACAGACCCAATATAAGCACACACAGTGTAATAACGGGGATACAACACCTGTGATTGCTTTCATTATTCACAGGTGAATAATAAACTGGACTACACATAATCCATCTCCTCTTGTTTCTAAGCAACGAGAGCACAAAGAATCAAAGTCTAGTGTTTTATATCGGCTTCATTAAAGGTTTTAATGTCACAGACACACAAACACAAACTGCTCTCTGCTGTAAGTTTATGGCAGGAATCATTATTGTTTAATGGTTTCATTATATCAGCATCAAACCAGTGGTGGAAGTACCAGAGTGTTTCATATTTTCTGCTACTTTATACTCTAGATGCTTTGTAGATTAATAACATGATACAATTACACATTTCAGCATTTTTGGAAACAGATTTTAGACGTTTTAATGTGGAAATGTAACATTTTATTGCTTTAAGGGGAATTTAATTGTTCTGTAAAACTTAAATAAAAAGAATCAGATTAAAGTTGATTAAATCTGTGTCTGTATTATATCATATATATATCAGAAAAGATGGTGCCGGTGAGGTCAGCAGCCGTCGTACCTGCTCCGACTTTTACTCACACAGCTGCTTTCAATACTGTAAATGTGTGTGTGTATATATACGAGCTACCCCCCTCTAAGTTTTACACTTGGAGTCTACAGTCTATATTTTATATGTTATATTACAGTCTATATTTTATCTTATTTTTGTTTTATATTTACGCTTATATTGTTTACCTTGTGTGTTATGTGCAATCACTACTGTTTTACTGTAGTAGTATTTTGTTTTTCTTTACTACTGGCTGCAGGTACAAAGAATGCATTTCACAAATACAAATAAAACCTCTTATCTTATCTTATCTATATATAGTGCAGTTGGGTCAGTTACATATGACTATTGATTAACAAGGTACTGAGCGGCATATAAATTAATTCAAATTAACTCCACTTTTAGCTGCAGCAACAATAAAGTGATGCATCAATAATTATAGTCGAATAATATATAAATATTATTCTGAAATGTGAACTTCACTGTATGTAGTGTTTGTCTATAAATGCGACTTTTTACTGTGTGAAGATACTAAAGCTGAATTTACGTCATAATATGCAAAAATCAAAAATGTAAAAAAGGCGAAACAAAACATACAAACCTCCAGCTCCAGAAGTTCCTCCACCTGCTCTCTCACGGCTGCCTGGCTGCAAAAATACAAACGCTGTGTTATAAAGCGGCGCCAACGCTGAGCTTTCATTTCCATAAACTGGAACCATCAGCAGGAATCACACAGATCGTGTTTTTCAATCTCCCTTTTTCTCCCCTTTTAGCCTCAACAAACGTATAATTCATCCCTGTAATAAAAACATTAAGACAAATGCGGAAGGAAGTGCTGAGCAGGTTTAATCAAGGTTTCTGTATTTGTACCCACATGATAAAGGATAAAAGATTTAAAACTTATAAAGAGAGATCAATAAAATAAATAACCGTTAGAATAAAAAAGGTTAAAGAAAGAACAACTCTGCCCACGTTACTACAACTCTGAGAAAAAGCTGAATGTTACAGAACAAATGGAGACAGTGTTCATTTAAAACCGCTGTACTGAGATCAGGAACCCTTTTTAACTGTGAATATCCTTCTTATAACAGTTTATAACACAGTTAATAACCCACAACTAACTCTCTTTAAAACACTGTGGCACGCAGAACATCTGTATTTTACAGTCAGTTTACAGTGTTTATATAACTATTAATAAAGTATTTAAAGTATTTTAATTAAAGTTGTTGTCATATTTTTTTTTTTTTTTTTACTCCATTTCAGTTCGCACAATAAAACTAGTTTAAATTCTGATTCCTTCGTTGAGAAATCTTTAAATCCTCACCCAAAGCAGTAATATACAACATTATTAAATAATACATATTATAGTGTTTATACAACTATTTTACAGAATTTTAGTTTGAAAAGGAAACAAAGTTGTTGTTGTTTTATTTTTGTTTTTACTACGTTTATATTCTGATTCCGTCACATATTGAGCCCAGTAATCAAAGCCTTCAGTACGTACATGAAGACAATACAAAGCTTTATTTATATTCAGTGTACTCCTGATAGAAGAATAAACCACAATATACCTTTTATAAAAGGCCCAGTCATCCAAAAAATACCGTCCACTGAAATGAACTTAAAGAAAACCTCCTTGAACTCAGTTTATATGTTGTTCTTGCTGCAACCTGTAACAACTGAACTATAACACATTAAATACATTCTCCTATACGTTTAACAATATAAGAATAAGATAAACATGTTTAATTTATTTATTATCATTGTTATAAATCTGATACTTACTGATAATACTTCTGCCACACAGCCTCTGCTTCACTCTTCTTCTTCACTCCAAGGCTGCTCAACAATAAACAACAACAACAACAACAACAAAGAAACAACACACAATTAAGAGGATTTACTTTAATTGTACTTGTAGTTATAATTGATTGCGTGATTCCTGCAGGGTTGTTAACCTTTTGTAGAGCTGTGCCCCGGCTGTGATCAGGCCGAATAAAGTGGTGATCTTATGTGGGACAAACGTCTCCAGGGACTCTGTGTGGGAACAAAGGAGCACAGTTATTGGCTGATTTGTGCCATGTCATTGTATTTGGCAATAAGCATGACAGGGATTACATTGCACCACCTTTAATGCCAGAGGGCCTCTAAATCTAGTGACTTGATCACACGGATCTGCTTTAGAGGCATGTGCTGCTGCCAGCTTGTGAAATATTCAAAAAGGAGATACTTGTGAATTATAGTTATATTACAGGGTAAAAGAAATGTGGGTCACCTTAATACACACATTAAAATGAATGAACAGAGTGATAACAGATGCAGCTGCAGCTTTACAGTATGTGATTCGATTTAATTCAACTAGATTTTACATTTTCTTTTCAAGTTGTAAAAATGAAAACCCCGGACTTCATTTAAAATCCCCGCATTTTAATGAAGCCATGCGTATTGGGAACAATATATAGGTTATTAAACTATAATAAACACTATAATAGAGTTACTCTGACCTACTCTTTAATTCGGCACACATATAATCTATTTAGAAACACGAATTGGAGCCAGATTTCGGCTTTTAGCGTTGACAGAGTTGATTGTTTACAACAGTCGTGTCCTGTTCAAATACGCTCTTGAAGCAGTGTAATGTACAACATTATTAAAGCATAAAATAAAGAGTTATTTACATCTTCTGTGTGCCGAATTACTCATAACACCACAACAATTCACATAACATAAAAGTAGTTCTCTACGTGGTGTCTACTTTTCTCTGCAACGAAAACACACATAAAAACTTTAAATCTTTAAACGGAGTTCGCCACGATGAGTCTGAATCTGTTCCTACCTGCAGCTTGCTGTCGGGCTTTCTGCAGAAGGATTTTCCCCAAGTTCACCAACTGACTCAGAGCACTAGTTAAAGTCTCCTCGGACACAGTCACATCCTCAGCCATGATCACCTGCTCCAGCCTCACCTGCACCGACTGACAGCACCACCGACAGCCGTACGAGAGCCTACAGGCGCCCCGAAACCACGTGACCCAAAACCATGTGGTGCTTAAAGCCTTGTATGGCAAACACACCCAGAGACACTCACATAGCACTGTAAAAGTTATATCTTAATGTCTCTGGCAAACACACAGTGGAGGGTGAGTTGCAAACAGAAAGAAAAAGATTAAGATAAAGATAATTAACCTTCAAATAATGGAATAATACTCATTCTACCTACTCCTAGTGATCATGCTTTAAATATAAGTGGGAGATATGAATATTAAACCCACTTAAACTTGATGATTTTATTTAATTTGGAAGATTTCTTTATTTAATAGCAACTAATAAGCTGTATTTTGCTAAATTTGGGGCTGTTTTCTTCATTATTTAGGCAAAACTAATAAATAATGTCCAGTAAATCTTAATTTATTTAATGTTTGTATATTATTAATGTGTTTTTATTTGTATATTTGGTCCGACAGCTGTATGTTTCTCCCTTCTGTCCACTTAATTCTTGTTACGTCTCATTAAATCCGCAGTACTGAGGACTCTGGAGGTCAGCACATCATCTACAGTCCAGTCCTGACGTATGTGAGCTGTGTGCTCTGGGTGTGGTCTTTAACTTTAATTTAATGGGATAAAATGTTGTATTTGTATCTTATAATTGTAATTTATTACGTCAAAATGTTGATTTATTATAATTCCACTTAATATCGCACCATTCCCATTTAGGAAGTCAAATGTTTCACCTATATCTCGTAGTTTTAGTCAAAATGTTGACTTATTTAATACATTTAAGTTAGATTTCTTGACCTATATGGTCAAAACGTTGACTTGGTATCATAATTTTAACAAATTAAATCAAAATTTGTACTTAATATCTCCTAATTCTGACTAAATAACTCAATATTATGAGTATTTGTATTGTATCCTACCTAACTTCTCATGTCCTTTGAACAACAGAGCCTCTAAACATTAATATTAGTTATTACTGATTATTTTCCTGAGTAATTACATTACAGTTACATTACATTACGAGACTATGGAAGCTCATTAACGCAAAAAATAAAAAATGATCAATCACAATTTTAACCCAGTAAATCCAAATCTTTACTTAACATTTTGATTTCTTATCATAAGAAAGCACACACACAACACAAAACTTAGTTCAGGGTCTATTTTTTAACAGCGAGCGGTGTTAAAACGCACTTCAGGGTTTTAAATAGTTAATTAATTATACGTTTCTTTTTTCCCCCAGAGAATAATTACGCGAGATTGAAGGTAAACCGACTGATATTGTTGGCAGATCCAAGAGGAGCCTCTGACTGTTAAATACACAACACACAATAACTGATTGATTTCAGTAAATCTTCACTGAATCAGATTATAAAATACTAAATTATTCATTTTAAGTATGAAAAACTAACTTATTTAGACTCTAAAAATCTGAATAAATCACAAATAACTCATCTTTTCAACTTAGTAAGTCAAAAATGTTGACTTGTAATCTCAAAACTTGAACTTAATAAGTTAAATTTTACCTTAAAATGTTGAATTGTAGTGATAGATGGATGTTTTAGGTTAGGGTAGTAAATGCATACAGTTTGTTTAGGGGGTGTTGGTCACAGTCACAGGGTCAGATCACTAAAACCTTCACATGTGATTTACAGCAGTATGTTAATAGGATGGCAGATGTGTTTCTGTTTGGATGTACTGAAAGGTTTGTATGGAAGTCGGGGGAGAACGTCTACGCGGAGGTCTTCTCTCCACGCTGCATGGATAAAGGGAATTTCTCCTACACTGGCGTCTTATAATTGTAATTTATTGAGTCAAAATGTTCACTGAGTATCTCAAAACTTCAACTTTATTAAGACAAAATGTTGATGTATTATAATTTCCTTTTGCTTAGTATCTCATAATTCCCATTTAGGAAGTCAAATGTTTCACTGTTATCTCGTAGTTTTAGTGAAAATGTTGACTTATTTCATACATTTAAGCTACATTTTTTTACTTAATACCTTTAGTTTTTAGTTAATGTGGTTAAAATGTTGACTTGGTATCATCATTTTAACTCATTAAATCAAAAGTTGGACTTAATATATCATAATTTGAACAACCTATTTGACTAAATAACTCAATATTATTGTATTTTTATTGCATCCTACCTAACTTTTCATGTCCTTTTCTTTTCTAATCTCATCATTAATGGGCTTCCATAGATTCCTTTGGTACATTAAAGGTTTGCAAACAAAAATAAAAGAACAACAGAGCCTCTAAAAAATTGTCAACCAGTTTTTTTATTGACTGCTGAAACATTCATTCACTCATTCAAATAAATCATTCCCCCCTTCAAGTTTTTAAGCTCGTAAGTCCACCGTAGCACTTGAACGACCGGTTCTCCCAGTGCGACAAAGACAACGACAACCAGTCAGCACAATCTTTGATATGAGAAGAAAAAAAATCACACAAACAAAACCAAAAAGTGTGTTAGACCGTCAGTGAAGCAGCAAATAAAGCCGATGTGCCATTAAACACATCGATCTGTTTGTACTTTGTGGAAATGGTTGAATTAAAAATGGCTAAATTAGGAAACTGGACATTCAATTAAGAACCGCTGCAGCACCGTCGTTGACTCTCAGTGACGATGTTTTAGCATTTAAAGGCCTCGAATTCGTAAAAGACTTTGAGGTCATTCCAGGTGATTCACCTGCAGAGCGGTTACCTGCTCTCGTTGTGCTTGAACCAACAGCGAGTCATTATAAACACACACACACAGAGGCAGCAGCTGCGTACACAGTAACGCAGCCTCAGTGTTTGTATGTTGTTTTATAAGGTTGCTGCATGTAAACATCACATCCCTTTAACTTCCCCCAGATTAAAACTATATTTTCCCCCAATTATGACGTTAAGACGTCTCAGGACTCGTATCCGTTAAAGAAGAAGTGTCCGTTTGTGTAGCCAGAATTCAATCACAAGGGGTCACAAGGACTTATTTTGGGTCTAGAAAGCTTACAGGTAGGCCTATATCTCAGTGAATGTGTCAAAACAAAAAGCCTATTAAGTCTGTATGATTGTTAAAAAGTATAAAACATAAATAATACAGAATCAAAAGTTCCCTAAACAGGAAAATAATCTGCTCAAAATTCATCCAAATCTCTCGTTTTACACAAACTGTATTAGGTATTTTTTAACAATCATTAATATTTAATAGGTATGTTTTTTGACAAATGTTGACAGTGTTCTCCCTGATGTTTGTTTATCAGAAGCTCTGTGAATATAACTTATGTTCACATCTTCAAATTTTAGATCTTAAATAAAAATCTAAACTTAAAAAATAACAATTTAATTTAGTTTTCTTCATAGAAATGAATGAAATACTGCCAACTGTGTAGTTTTCTTAAATTATTACATTATTATTTAAGAACTTTCTGTCTTAAATAACAATTACCTAAATGAATAAATTACTGAGTTATAGGCCAACTGTGTATAATTTTAAAGTCTTCTTACACCCTCTTAAAATCAAGAAGGCCTCGCGACCCCTCTGTGAAGCTTTGGCGAAAAGTGGCTACGCAAATGAGCAGGAAACATACAGACGGTATCTGATGGTAACACATCTGGAAGGTTACGAGCTCTTCTCTCCCCAAAGTCTAAAAAAACAAACCAGCCTGATCCATAGAATCATTAGGAATCGTGACAGAAGGAATGATTGTAAATAAGACGACAGTATGTGGTTGAGCTTCCCCCTCATCAATAATCAGTCAGAGACGTCAGGAAACATTCAGGAGTCACTTTTACTGGATAATAACCAGGTTGGTTTTTACTTTTTTAATGCATCTCGGGCTGCAACTGATCATTTATTTTATTACAAATCAATTAATGATAATAGATTCATGGATTAGTCTATAAAATAGACTTTCATAGACTTATAAGTCATTAATTATACCGGAATATAGCTGCAGTTTTATTAGTTTTCTCTTTGCCCAAAATCCTGGTTTCATTTTCTGATATATGAATATTGATTCTGTATTGATTGATTCTGTTTCTCTGCTGGGTCCAGTGAAAGGATGACTTTTTTTGTTCCTGAAATTAGTTCAAAACCAAGATTTATTTGATGTATTATGACATAAAACCGTAAACCTTCACATTTGAGTCATCGTTAATCCGTTAACTGACTTCCGGTCGCTGTCATTGGCTCTCTGAAAACTCCCTAAGATCTCTGACAGTTGCTTCAGCAGCCAACCCGCCTCTACACCGACCCCCTTTATTGGTCACATTAAAAGAAAAGCGGGGCTCCGACACCCCAACGAGAGAACCGACACTTCCAGCGAGTGTCGAGACAACTAAATAAAAAGAGACTGCTTCAAGTATCCCGAGTGGAATTCAATAGCCCTGAAAGGTTTTCATGTTTTTAAAATCCCCAAACTCCTTCTCTGCTGATAGGCTGAGACTGTGTGTGTGTGTGTGTGTGTGTGTGTGTGTGTGTGTGTGTGTGTGTGTGAGAAGAGTTGGAGGTGATCTGAAGATAGGATTGTAATCATGACTGATGGTTTATGGGATGGACTTTGTGCTTTGGGTGTTTCAGACGAGGCCTATAAAAGGAAGGAGAGAGAGAGAGAGAGAGAGAGAGAGAGAGAGAGAGAGAGAGAGAGAGAGAGAGAGAGAGAGAGAGAGAGAGAGAGAGAGAGAGAGAGAGAGAGAATCACTTCTGCATCCCAAACTGTGGCTCTAACGTTCTCCGTCATCTTCCCCCAAGCAGCTGTAGTTTGGGAATATTGGGGCTAATCAAAAGAACCACCTGAATAAAGATTCTTTAAGCCTTTTTCACAGCAGCCATTTGGAGGTGAAATAAGAGGGTAAACAGAGGTGTTACGGAGGATACTTTAGGACCTTTCCAGGATATGTTCCAGGAGTTTTATTGACAATACAGGACGGCGCTGGTTCACAAACGGTCCTATAGTTTACTGGTAGGTCTTAACTTCACCGCAGTTTTATTTCTTATTGTTTAATGAAGTTCATTACAGGTAGGTGGTCAGCGTTTGTGAGACACTCCGCTGCGTACTCTCCAGTAAACAGACTAAATGTGACCAGTTTGTATCTTCCTATAAATAACAATTAAGTAGAATTTATTTTACCATAAATTCATCGTCTCACCTTTTGGCCAATTAAATAAAAGGTTTTATGGTTCAGTTAACATCGCTGTGCATGTATTTATAAACAACAACAAGACAATCTTCCACTGGGTTTCGTGAGAATCCACGTCGTAAGTTTTCCTGCCAACAGTCGCGTTTAAAACGAAATACGAGAGGGGCTAAAATGCAATTAAAATGTTCCAGGACAACATAAATTATTTCCAGGATATTTGGCTCTTTTTAATCAATTTCCAGGTGTTTCCAGGACATGTGGGAACCCTGGTGTTAACCCAACTATTTCATGTCAAAAGTGGCTGCTGTGAAAAAGGTCTACATATCATTACATCATTTTGAACTTGAACTGGGTCCCAGTTAAACTGACGTCTTTAATATTAATATTACTAAATGTTTGTGTCAACGCCGGTGTACAAAGTTAAAGGCGTCCAGTGTGAGTGGAGTAAGAACTCCTTGACTCTTGTTGGGAGTCGTGTGAGGGAGGATTTCAGGGAGGATGACAGAGAACAGAGCAGGATCTGGAGGGGGGGCGGGGGGGGATCTGATATCGGAATAAGATTAATTAAAGTTTTCCACAAACCAAACAATGTCACCACTTCATAGAGAAAAAGTCTCTTCTGGAGTAATTTGTTGAATTTGTAATATCACCTCCAGAAGAGACACAAGCTGCTTCCCAAACGCGTCAATTAACACTTTGATTTCCCGTCTTTAAATTGAATTAACTGCCATAAAAAAGCGAAGCTGCTTTTGGAGAACTGAATCCAGTTTTTGTTGTTTGGGTTGCAGAAGAAGAAGAAAAGTCCCTTTGTTCTGCCCAGTGTAGAAGCTTCATTATTAAGACTTTATTAAACCGACTTCTCTCCCTGCGTAGAAGTCGTGTTAGGACTTCTTCGGACAGTGTGAAGACGAGTCTGTGTTGAGAACCTCTATCATCGTTCTGGTGGACGGGAAGGTCTCTGCTACAGATGGAAGACTCTGGTACCAACCTGGCAAACTGTGGAGGAGTAAAAGAATTAAAAACAAGAGAACGAGGAGAGGAACAACAAACAAAAAGGTTTCAAATGTTCGTGTCTTCCTACCTTTTGAGATTCATCCAGTTCTTTGCTGTTTTACTGAAGCTGTCTGGACTGGGTGTGGTCATGGCTTCAAAATCCACCAGCTGGGAAAATATTCAACACAGATACATTAGAATGGGTTTTTTTCTTTCTGAACAACATTGTGTTGACGGAAACCAATAAAGTTAATTTAAGACTTTTTAAGGCCCCTTTCTTTTTTTATTTAAGATATATTTTCTGGGGCTTTTTATGCCTTTATTTGATAGAACAGCCGAAGAAGGGCGGAGGAAGAGAGCGGTGACGGCATGCAGCAAAGGACCGCAGGTGGGAACTGACTCAACCTACATGGAGAGGTCCTTTAAGGCCCATTTATTGCCTATTTCAAAGTCCAAAACACTGTCTGAAGGTCGCTTACTGGAGTTGGAGGAGTCAACGTTGTAAATATAATAATAATTTTATATTTTATATATTTATAAAGCACTTTTCAAGCTTAAGCACAAAGTGATTTCCAGATTAAAAGATATACAGAACTAAAATTAAAATCAGAAACTCATGTGAGTCCAAAACACTGGCACTAGATAGCGGTCTAAATCCTACACACAGTCCACAGCTGCATCACACAGTAAAGTATGTAACAGGTAACAGTCTATAAATATAATGTTTCCTTTAAAAAAGGTACAGAGCAGAAGTAAAACCACTTGTGCAACCGCAGTAATAATTAGAACATTTTCCTCTCACACACCTGCTGCCAGATATCACACGAGCTATCAGCTCTTTCTGTCTGAATGAGCAACCTTCACTTCAGAGACATCTACTGTACGTCTGAATGACTAAAAGCCATCACTTGATAGCACAGCTTCACACAGCCAGCATTGTGTTGTATCTCGTGTATGAAAAAAAGGGAAGTTATAGTGTGTCTGATCAAAAAAAACAACCCAAAATACGTGTGTGAAGTTCAGACATATTGTTGTTGGAACAAAGACACGTCGGAGGAGAACGAGGCGGCACAGAAACCTGATCAGGTGTTAGAAAAGTGAAGTGTATGAAAGGTTCAGCTGAGGTTGTTGACTGTCCTCATAATGTCTGTATGTCGACTGAAGAATGTCTGGTGATTAATGACTTTAACAAACGAATGAAACCTTTGACTCTGGGGAAAATTAGAGTAGGAAATTCCCAAATTCCCACTCTTATCTGAAGATGTTTGCTTTGAGAAGAGAACTTAAATAAAGAAGGAGAAGTTTTTAGTCTTCAGACTTGTGCTTGTTCTTTGTTTACCTTTCCTTTCGGGATCCTGCCGATGACCTCTTTCCCGCTGGCCATCAGTGCTCCCATCACGACTGAGTAGGCCACCACACTGAGGAGGAGCAGATCAGGAAAACCCTCTTCACACACTAATATCACAATAATAAACATGATAATACAAAGATATAGTTACGCCCTTCTGTGTCAGCAGACACTGCAACCCTGCTATTACAGTTAGTTTTGTGGTTTGTGGTCATTTTGAGACCTGGTTTATCGTAGTTATAATTATTATCTGATTATCAGGACACTGTCCAGAGCTCATAATTAAAAATGGCCACTCTAAAACATAAAAAAGTCCCAGTTCAACCCCTGACTACAGGTAAAACTTGGACCGCTCAATAGTGAGCTGAAGGTAGAACAGGCTGTTCTTCAAGCATAAATGAAGCCAGAGAATTTAGAGTGTGAGTCTTTGTTTCCTCTTCAGAAACCACTCTTTCAATGTCAACGGTTATTAATTGTTTTTAAGGAGTTTCTAACGTTTCTTGCCAAAGGGGGATCTGACTCAAAACATTAAAGCTTAAAACCACAAATCGAGCTGTCCCAGGAAATCACAAAGGAACACAAATTCACTTTCACCACAAAAGGTTTCCAAATGATAAAAATAGTTAACGTTACGCCTGCGGGCTGTTTCGACTCACCTGGACCCTCTGGAGAGCGGCATGAGGTTGCAGAAGTAATAAACCAAGGAGAGGATCAGGTTACACACAGCATCTGCATCCTGGAAGAACAACACAGAGTCAACTCTCATCCATTTTCTAACGGTCTTCACTGGGTGTTGTCTGCCGTTCTCGGTTCATAAAGACGCGGTGAAACCCGAGAGGGCTGCCGACTGAAAACTGCAACAGTCAAAAGAGGTTGTTCACATTGTCCCTGGGTGTCTGGGTCAGATCACAGTCAATAACCTTTCAACAACAGGGGCATTGTTGGGTGCTATGGCAGCTATCAGTCTAAATCCAGTAACAATAAGAGAAACTGAGCCGAGGTTGAACGGTTAGTCTGAAAGCCACAAACAGCAACCAGCCGCTGTAAAATTATCCATTTGTTTAAATATTGGGATATTCTCCAGAGAATTAATATTCTTCCTCGTCTGCCCGTCTATACAACTGAAATCAGTCATACTCCTGCAGAGGGAGAGAGAGGGGAGATATGCTGACTGACGACTCGAGATAAAACTGTCGCCTGCTGAGTCTAGTTCACTATTTTTCTGGGGTTTCTTTATGTTTTGTGTCATTTTTCCTCTGAATCTCCTCCTGCATTTACAAAGATTCCCAGCAAAATAATTTAAAAAGGACCAACACGGGCTTCAACTAATGATTAATATGTAATCTATATATTATTTATAAAATGTCATAATATACTGAATCGTGGCCCAAGGCGACATCTACAGATGTCTTGTTTTCTCTAACAATCCAAAAACCAAAGATAGTTGATTTTCAGTTATATAAAACAAAGAAAAGAGACAAATTTTCTCATATTTGGGAAGAACATTTGTCATTTTTTGCTTTATAAATGACTTAAACACATAAATGTCTATCAAAACAATGGCGATTAACTTTCTGTCAATTGACAAATCAATGAATCTACTAATTCTGTCAGCTCTCTGTCACATTTTACTTGCAGAAGGTTAGAGGGAACCTTTTATTACTCTACTACTAATATAAATCTTACATTTAATGCTTCATTTCATCTCATAAATCATTGGTTTGAACACACTTCTGCTTTCTATTATGTGTGGGATGCAGAAGTTGTGCCAAATAAGAAAAGCTTCCAGTGAACTGTAGAGCTCAATCTCACCCCGAGCTCAGTGGACAGCATTAATGTCTTTCCTTTGGCGGTGAGGTCTTTGTAGATGGACTCTATCTCTGACTGGTACTGCTGCGTCCGCTCTTCTGTCGTCTGAGTCTCTACTGAGAATAACATGTTGCCAACCCTAAAAAACACAGAGAGCAGTTCAGAAGTGGGAATTAGTGATCACTTAAATCTCCTTCTGTCATCGTAGTTCGAACGAACCGGAACTGACACCAGGAAACTGTCACAGCTCTGCTAGTGAATTATAAAATAAATAATCATTGTAGCTGCCAACAGTTAACTGTCCTGTATCTTTGTACCCACTAAGAACAAAACGCACTTGATCTTCTTTATGAATGTAATAATGTATCGTGAGACAGTTCAATCACACAGATATGTGAAGATTCGAATCAGTAAGATATAAAATGAATCATTATACTTCAAACAGCAGAGGGCGATAACTAATGTTGACTGTTCGATGTTTTGGGTCACTCGCGTCAGCGGCTGTATCGAGGCTTGCTTTTACAAAGAAAAGGAAATATGCATCGTTTTGCAGAGTTTAAATGTAAGAGAAGATGTATTTTGAATCTCTTTCAGTCGTAATTAGTATTTTTTTGTCTTCTTTTGTTGAAAAACTGACTTGAGTGTATCTTTACATCTCTAATGTTCTTATTTAATTACAATCGGGCCCTAATTATATTACTTTCCCAGTAACTAGTAGTGTAACTAATTGCTAATACATTTCAGTAATAAAAATTAGTCACAACATTACACCTCCTACTAATCTGAAATCCAATGATCCAATCACATCATTGGATTCATTTTTGTAATCGTGGAAGAAAAGATGGAAATGTGGCTGGAAATATTCACATTACTTTGATTTTAACAAACAAAACTGGATTTTAATCTTCACAAGTGTGAATTTTGGGGAGAAAGGGACACAATTACAGCAGAAAAGTAATAAAAACTAGTAGTGTAACTAATTACTGTTGGCAGGGAGCAATGAGTAAAACAATAAAATTAATTTGGAAAACAGTAACGAGTAATAAATTAAATTTTTTTGAGTAACTAGCCCAACACTGACCGTACGTTACATTACATTCATTTGTCCGTACCTGTCTCCAGTGATGGTGATGGTAAAACCGTCGTACTCTTTCCCAAGATCCTTCATGCTCGGCACCTTGGAGTTGACCGTGAAGCCATCTCTGGTTTTACTGTTGAACTGCTTCAGGAAACAAACAAACAAACAAACAAACACAGAAACAACCATCCTGGGTTTTCACTGCTGAACGACGTAAAACAACCAAAAACATAACATAAACCAACTAAATGTTGAGATAATTTTTTATTAAGCAGCACAAAACAATCTCAACTCAAGGTCCACTTACTTAACTCTGCTGATAAGGGATGTTTGATACCATCAGAAACAAATAAGAAAGCAGACCTTGAGCTGAGTGACTTGACAAAATGTCGATTAAGCGTGAGAAAAAAAAACTATTTTCAACCCAGTTAATTAGGACATGCATCATGTTTGTCTCTCTATTCACTTCCTTTTTAACCAACTTCCTCTTTTTTCGTCCTTACCTTCATTATAGGAAGCAGATCTTCTACTTTATTCACATTTTCGAGAGCCTGGCGGACTTCTAAGAGTCCTCTGGGGTTGTACGCCCTGAAAAACAAGAACTTGTTAAGTTAAAGAAGCAACAGAAGAGTGAGGAAGACTGATGAAGAAAAAAGAATTATTCATTAAGATTTTGCATTTATCCAACACTCTCATGCAAAATGAATAAAGCCTGGAGGAGGAAAGAAATTATTTACACGCAGTAGCAAAGCATATTTACATAACTGCAGTCAAATATATACGGCCATTTAGTACATATTTTCTCTCTCTCTTTATAAATGTATAGTTTCTATGATTGATTCTGATTCTTATGCACCAATGTACCAAAGCAAATTCCTTGTGTGTGAAAACTTGGCAATAAACCTGATTCTCATTCAGAATTTTCCAGATAAAAAAGGGTAAAATGTGCGACAAACAGCTTTATAATGAAAGTTCTGCAGAGATTTCCTGGTTACAAATCTTTTGTTTTGTCACATCGTCACAGAAAAAACTGTATAAAGTGTCAATTTACCCGTGGTACACCAGTATTCTGTCTTTGATGAAGTCGAGGATGTTGTCAAAGTAGGCCAGATATCTGATGTTGATAATCTGTCCCCTGCAGAGAAAAAAAATTGGATGGATTTCAACATACTGCCAAAAAAGCAGATTTTATATCTCTGAAGAAATGCTGTCAGTGAGCTTTCAGCACCAAGGCGACAGCGAATGAAACTCTGGGCTTGTGTTACATGGGTTTAAATAAATGTTTGTGCACTACAAAAGGTTGAGGAAAAACCCAAAGCGAGGCGAGTGTCGAGTGTCTCGCTCTGTCCTCGGGGGGGCGAGTTGTTACCTGATGAGATTGATGTGATTGTTGAAGCCTCGACTGAGACTCCTGGCAGGCATCTGGTCCAACCACAGAACTGGCTGGTCTGGATCCGCGATCCTACGAGCAGCAAGGAAGAAGGAGGAGGAGGAGGAGACCTGTTTAGTCTGTCAACACCGAAATCCACTCAGCTGAAGACTCTTTCAGTGGAATAAAAGTGATTTCAGTTCTCACTTCTCTGTGTAATTTAACAAGCTGAGTATGAGCTTCAGTCTAGACTGTATTTTTTTTATGCAAGGCGGTTTGAGAATGAGGAATTGGTGGCTAACGCATATCGACATCTGTCTTCTTCTTGTGCCTTTGCTCCCTGGAGTTTTTAGGTTATTTCCTGGAGATGATTAGGATTCCACAGATGCTCCTGAGAGGAACTGTCTTGGATCGCGACAGAGACGCACATTTTTTAGGTGTTTTGGTTGTCGTCCTCGTCCAGCCAAACCAAACTTACACTTGGATGCTTTAAAGGGTAATACTAAATCTGAGCCTGTAAATGACGTCTACAGTCAATATGTTATACAGTCACTTGTTCCTGGTCTATAGAGACACAGATTATTTGCCTTTTTCCAAATTAAATGCTCCTCTAGACCTTCAGAAATGTAAAGAGTCTACAAAAACTTTACCTGGTACATCATGCCTTTGAATTACATCACATCAACCCTAAATCTGGATCTGAATGCATTTATTGATTAAAACAAAAAAGCTAAAAAAGGTGTGTTTAGTTACTCACCTCCTCCATTTGACAGCTATATCGAACATGTCTCTCCACTGCATTTGCCTGGTCTTGCCGTTGACTCGCACTTTGGAGTTGCTCCACGTCCGATGCATAGCCTGCATCACCTCCAGGGTCGCTAAACCCATGGCTGAAAAAAAGCACGATTTTATTTTCTTCCTGTTGTTAATGCTTTAATTCATCTGCATGAGCTACAGTATTTATCTGTGGTACCTCTGTGTATTCTCCTGTTAGGTAAAAAACCAGGAGTGTCGTATTGCATTAACGCCCCCAAGTGGTCGGCTGTGCAGATCAGCTTCTGAACTTCACTGCTGTAGCTGTCGAAGTTCTGCGGCAGCACGTCCCTGAAAACCACAGAGAGAGAGGAAGACACAGAGGATGAGCTTCGTCAAAACCTTTCATGAGGTGTTTGTTTTTTTCTGGACCGTACTGTGGGTAGCTGTCAACCTTCTGCATCGGCTTTGTAGAACAGAAGAGACGAGTTTCAACCTACTGACAGCAGGAAAAAAAACACCAGCCTGAAGAACAATGGAGCTTTTCTGGAAGTGTTTGCTTCAGCTTTGAGCGCGTGAGAACTGCTGCAAACGTCAGGAAATTAAAGTTGTGATGGTTCCTGATTGCTCAGATTTCTAAAAGGATGACACACTAGAGGTGAAGTGTAGGACAAGAAGATGTAGATCTGTTATATATTATTATCTTAAAGCCCATTCGCAGCTATAACAATATCTGTAGTTTATGATCTCAGAGTAATATTAAAATGGACGAGGAGAGCTTCCAGTTATTGCTCCAGGTGGGGATCAGCTGTAATGGAGCCATTAAACCTACTTGATATGTGGCTGCAGGCCGGGCTGTTCTTCATAGTCCTCTATTAGAAAAGGCAGGTTCTTGGCCCAGTGATTCTTAAAGTTCCCGGGTAAATCCTGGTCCACGTTGTACTCTGCTACTGGGATGTCAAGGTGGGAGTGCAGGTAGCGAGAGTACTCTGGTAGAAACACAAAGTGGGGCAAAGCAGGCAGAGAACATAAGATATAATATAAAATTTAAATGAACTTCCAAGTGCATTATGGTGTCTCTTATGTATGAGTTTGTGTGTGTGCGTGCGGGGACACCAACCTCTGAGGTATTTCACTTTGAGGTATTCTGAGCTGGCCTTCTGTCCCAGCAGAGGGTCGTTCAACATGACTTTAGTCTGAGCTTTGATGCCCTCGTAGAACTGCCCCATCGCCACGTGACTTAACCCCTTCATGTACTGGCACACCTCGTTGTAGGGCTCCAACTGGAGACACCTCTGGGGGACGAACGGGAGGAGGGGAAAATTCAAAGCGGGGTTCAGATTTTACTCTGCAACCTCACCTCTTGGTGCCACTAAATCCTACACACTGGTCCTTTAAAACTGCAGTTCAAATGTAATTTTCGCTGTTATGGTATGAATTGCATTATGCAGCCTAACGGAGGGGCAGAGCTTTCTCCTTTACCTTGAAGTTGCCTATGGCCTCCTGCAGCGAGCCGTGGTGGTACAGCATCATGCCTCGGAGCTGGAGAGACTGAATGTGGTTCTGATTCAACATGAGGGCTTTCTGGAAGCTCTCCATTGCTGACTCAAAATCACCCAACTCTCTGGAAAGAGGAAGCAGAGACACCAAAAGACCAACAGTTGACATATTGTTAGTAAGGCGGAGAGGAAAGGTAAGACTCTCAATTCCTTAAATACAAATGCACGTAGTGTTTATCCTTATGGTTAATGATATTAACAGTGAATCTCAGAGACTTGCTGTACCTGTAGGCCTGTCCAAGGCTTTTATAGGCATCTATGAAGTCAGACTTCAACTTCAGAGCCTCTTTGAATGTCTCAATGGCTTCCTGACGAAGGAAAACAACATGTTTTCACTGAGTGACAACACAGAGTTAACAGGATATTGCAATAGGGAACATGTGGATAGAAGTCAGCAGATGGTTCGAGCCTGAAACATATATTTTTTGCCTGCAAATTGTAATTCACATAATCCATCGCAACTGTGACTCAACTGTGACTCAAGTGGCCACTTCACCACAAAAAGGGATCACCGAAGTCAGTGGGATTTATCATTTCACTGCAATCCATCTGTTAATTGTTGAGATATTTCAGCCTGGACTGACGAACCAACCGACTTAAACACTTAATCTTCTCAGTGTTTGATTATTTACACACTGTAAACTCTTTGCATACAGCAGTATAAAAGAACGTTCAGTGTAAATAAAATGAAAGTTAACAACGTGATCTTTGCTTTCATGGTGTGAACAAGGAACTGTGCACCAACGAGGTCAGCAGACAAAAGGACATATTAGAGCTATTTTACTTTCTCACCGAACTGTACCGATAAAAAAAAATAAAAAGAAGCAGCAGATTGTGCAATATTGACTTTGTTTCCATGAGGACGAGCTGTTATATTGAAACAGTATTTAATGTCTGGTGCTTTTTTTTCACTGTGTTTAAGAGTTTTGTTGTTGTTGTTTGTCAGCTGCTTGTAGGTGCTGTACAGGGGATTCCCTCAGGAAATTGGTTAGTCAGGGGTTAGCAAAGGTGATAAACACAACCAAAAACCGCCCCCATACATACATGTGACTGGATAAAACAGAGCAACTGAAGGAGCTTTTGCAGACGAGCCTCGCAGCCGAGAGACCGCAGATTAAACAGCTGCAGACGCTGCTCCGCACAATCTGACACCAACTTATCAAAGTGTGAGAAACACTGTGAATGTGGGACTACAGCGTGACAACATAACTAACAGTTATGCAACATGTTGTCCAGGTTTTCACATTTTAAAATGATAACTTTGCTCACTGTGAAAGGAGCGATGGCTGCAGCGTATTAAAAGGGATATATCGTATATAAGGGAACCCTGTGTACACAGAGAGAGACTACCTCTGCAACAGGAAACTGGTGTGTGATACACAGAACCCTCTTCCTATTGAGAGGTCTGCTCAGAAGAACTGATGTGGTCACCTTTGACTACTTAGCTAAACTGAAAGTATTCCCTTAGAGCAGGCTACTTTGCAGCTGCTCAAACACGATTATAACGTATAGAAATGTAAAAACACTAATTAATTTTGTACATACAATATGCATGAAACACCCCAAACTTCCCTCTACTCCATGTTCTAACTGACATTGTATCTTAATCTCTTTTGCATGATGTACACATAATATAAATCAGACAATTTCCACCATAAAATACTGGAGATTTTCTAAAAGAAGTAGATTAGTTTACCCAGATTTATATTCCTAAACATGTATCCAGCAGTAAAAGGAAACTGGCTCATAAAAGTAACAAATGGGGATTAAAAAAAAAAACATACGCAGCCAAATTCCCTATTTTCTGCTGGGAAAACAGCCAGTGAACTCACCTTGAGCATGCCTCTGTGGAAGAAGGTGAGGCCTTTATACAGCATGGCGATGGGCTGATTCTTCTTCAGCTCTAAAGACTGCTGGAAGTCTTCCATCGCCGCCACATAGTCCTGGTGGGAAGGCAAAAGCAGCAGGGTCAGCATTAAGGCACGCTAGTGTACGCATGTACGTACAGAAGATTGGACAATCAAACCTCTGAGATGAAGAGCAGTGTTCCTCTGTGTCTGTAGAGACGGGCTGAGGGCTGAAGCTGGATGGCTTTGGTCAGATCGGCCAGAGCCTCACTGATACGACCCAGAGGAGACAGGATCTGGATGGAAAGATTAAAGTAGAAGCACAAATTCAAAGAAACATGATGTGTTTTCATTTGGTTATTGCAAAAGATCTTGTTGAAAATTCTTTTGGGGGCAAATCACGCTCATGTACGGCTGAAGGAGACAGAAAACGTACACATGTAAGTACACTCAACACATAGAGAGACACTCTGTGTAACTATTTCTGTGTGACTTTCATAACAGTTTGGATTACAGCAGATATAAGCTCGTGTGGCACATAGGTCACAAAGAGGAAACAGCTCATAGCCAACCTCAGAGTGAAAGATATTTTAAACTAACAGTGTGATTCTTAGAACTTACAGCACACAGTAAACTCATGTGACTTCACGATCATTTGTGTGTCTATACATATATACATATAAATACATGTACACAACTACACCGCATACATTACTGAACTGAATATTAAACACTTTTTGACAATATGTATATTTTTCCACAGGCTCTTGTGCTTGTTTCTTGAGCACAATTAAATCAACATTAATGAACTTTCACAGCAACTTGTTTTAAACGCTGCAGAGCTCTTTCAAGAAAAATGTAACTGAACATCTCATTTCCTGGACTACGACCTTTTTCTCCTCTCCTGCAGACAATCTAGAAATATGTACCAATGTGCTGTATTATGTTGCATTTTGCACATTCAGAATCATTACCGCTTTTGCTGTTAGCATTTAACAATTGAATGTTAAAATATAAAGTGTTTAAATAATTCAATTCATATGATAAATGTGCGATGACTAGTCTGTCTAGAGATGACTAGAGAGAGCAAATCACAAGTTATCACCAATACCAACACCCAGTGATGCTTAGAACATAAAACAGATATAGTGGTGATTGATGATCAGATACAGTGGTGATTGATGATCAGATACAGTGGTAATTGATGATCAGATACAGTGGTAATTGATGATCAGATATAGTGGTGATTGATGATCAGATACAGTGGTGATTAATGATCAGATTAAAAGTAAAGTTTGTCGAAATCTCCTCTAAAAATATACACGTTAAACTATTGAAGGAGGCTGAACGATAAATAAATGACTTCTGTTCCTCTCTCACCTCTGCTCTCTGTTCGTAGACCTCTGGCCAGTTAGGCTCCAGAGTGATGACTCGGTTGAGCTCGTACAACGCCAAGTCAGCATTCTTTATGTCCTGGCGTGGGAGACACAGGAAAGGGGGGGAGGCAGTTATATTCTGTTGACATAAACCTTAATATATAGAGAACAAAACTAGGAGCAGAGCCACAAACAGCTTAAAGAACACCCCAAAATAAAACCGCTGTGCTGTGTTTTTACCCGCAGAGTCCCGGTGGATTGAATTTGTATTCACTGGATGACACACTGAGTCATTCTGCGTTTACCTGAAACTGCTGCTGTCGCCCAAAACGCGAGGCGAATGGAGGTGAATAAAACCAGAGGCATCCAAAATATGCATATGGACAACAACTCCCTACGCTGCCAAACCCCCAATAATGAATATGAGCATACCAATTAAACTGAGATTCAATGTGACTGGTTTTGAGCAGCAGGCTGAACTCTGAATGCAAATAAAAGCCTCGATCAATATAGAAAACACAGACTTTACTGTGTAACTTATAAAGTGTGACTCATCTTATACTCTGTCTTTCTTGCTAACAAACACATATTACTTCATGTCTTAATGTAATTATCCAGTTTATGACATTGTAAATGCTCTGATGGAAGACACATTTCAGCTGTATTTTAATGGTCCACACTAACAACAATAACTACAACTATAAATTAAGAGTTAACAAACAGTGGTCAGTAGGAAAATGGATAAAGTTATTGATGAGCTGCTGTGTGTTGCTCAGAAAAACAAGAACCAGGAGGTCATGGGTTCACAAAGACGAGAGGTTTAAGTCTGTTTAAGTCACATTTTATTCATACTTTGGTAAAAGAGAGAAAGAGATCAGAGATGGTTTATCAGTATGTCTCAGGTAAAAAGATGTTTTTTTAAGGTGTAATTTACTACTTAATATAAGTAATATCCCACAATATTGCACCATACGATATCATTCGACACCTCCTCGAGCAAGTTATGCCCTACTTATGTCGAAGAACAGAGCTACAAGGTGCTTAACCTGAAATTACACCACCATAAAATACAAGAAACTATTAAAAGAACAACATGAAACCATTGGCAGACAGAGAAAAGCTGCTGTTATGTTATATAACAGTGCAGCTGTAGTCCACATCCACCACTCACCTGTAGACTTTTCTTCCCGTAAGCTATCCCTCTCCCATAGATGGCACTGACCAGCTCTGGGTCACCCTTTTTACAGAAGACAACAACATGTCAGGAAAATGGCTCCAACACAAAGGAAAACAAAGAGTCAAGCTCGTACGGAGAGCGAGGAGAGACTGATTCACAAACACACCTGTAATAAGAGTGAGAAGTGTTTGATGGCTTCATCATAAAGACCGTTGCCTATCAGAACGTAGCCTATAGCTGCAACGACAGAACAAAAAGGATGATGAGCAACCAGGAGGAACATTACAAAATCTGTTTAATAAGGTTCCTATTTGGAGCAACTTACCGAGTTCTTCGTTTGTGTTGAGGTTATCTACTGGGAAGGGGATTTTTTTCTGTTCTATAAACAACTTGGCCTGGTTCTGTGTGAGATGAGAAACAAAGAACAAAAAGCACATATACATACTGTACATCAACAGGAAACAAAATAAAGGCTTCCTGTGTGAAAAGTCGAGACAAGAAAACAGAGGAGAAACCGAGAATATATATAACGCTGTCAGTGTGACACAAGTTTATTTAAAGCAGGTGTAGAATGATGTAAATTAAAACCTTCATCGGGGACATTTTGCTGAGTTTAAAAAGGGTTTTTTAAGAAGCTTCACAGCGTCTCTCTCAAGGTTACACCGATGCTTACTGCTGCCGAGCAAACTCATGTAGTGATACATATTCTGTGTATTGCATCAAAAAGAAAAAGGAGTGGACTAGTTTTCTCTCCTTCTCAAAGTGTCACATTGTGTTTTACTGTGTAATCCTAAATGGAGAGTGGCAGCGTGACATAATAGCAACCCATCGTTTACAGGATGCAAAATCTGACAGCATGCAAATGTTGCTGTGGCAGCAATTTGGTTTTTTTTTTTTTTTTTTTTTTTCCACGACAGCAACGACTGACAAGAACAAATACTTTTACATCATCGAGCCGACAGAACGCAACATCATCAAAATGACACCCTCGGTCCGCTGCAGCTTCTCTTTTCCCTCCTTTCTCTTCTCTGAGGAAGATATTCTCTCTAATGCTCGGGTGTGTACGTCGTCAGGCGTTTGTAAAGATCAAACTGCTCTGAATTTGAAGTTTAAAGTCTTGACTGTGATTATTATTGCCTCCAGTGTCCTCTCAACTCGCAGCAGTGATGTATCGGTGCACTCGGGGTGTGGTCGGTGCTGGGTGAGGTTACAGACACACAAAGACACACACACACACACACACACACAGACACACACACACACACACAGAGACACACAGACACACTCCTGACCACACCCAACAACACCCGCAACAATCATGAAACCGTCACCCGGAGGAGGTTGTGGATTCTTTTATGGCTGCACGATATCAGGATTGTAAACTCTATATATAAATAAACAAAGTTATTATTATTATTCATGATTAGTGTGAAAACTATCGTCACTAATTGAATTAAACTATTAAAATCAGGATGTTATGAACTTTGTTTTGGGACCAGAGAACAGGCGAGTGCGTCTCTGCAGAACTACAGCACGTCGTTATAAAGCAGCTCTGTCACTAAATTTAACCTTTATTAAAAACTTTGCAGCTTCTGCGACTTTAATAATATTTCGATGAATTTGCGCAGCACCTGGTGATAAACCTCTTTTATTGTTCATTGTGCTTCAATTTTCTCATTTTTACATCTAAATAGATCAAAATATCAAAACCAAGAACCAAAGAGTGTGTATCAAACTAAAACATGAGGATAGTTTCATCAATAAATTACAGCAAATCAAACCCTAATAAACATTATCGGGGAAATTAAACTAAAAAACGAGTTGTTAAGACGTCTAGGAACCGATATTTCTTACTGAAGGAAACCGTTACAGTCTGTGGCTGTTGTTGATCTGATAATGTGTCTCTGTGTCTGTCTGTCTGTGTGTGTGTGTGTGTGTGTGTGTGTGTGAGATCTCACCAGGATCTTCTCTGCATTAAGTGAGAAGACTGACTCGCAGGGCGGGTTGCTTCCCTCCTCGCAGTCTGGGTCTTCCAACTGTAAAATCGAAGACTCTGAAAGGAGAGACATTCAGAGTATTTTAGTTAATATCTGTGTGAGCATTACGTGTCTACGTGGGAACATTAAACATTTTAAATCCTTCCTGTCGAGACCGTTCGTCTTTTCAAGTTACATTTTAAACAGTCTTGTATTTCAAAGAAAGAAATGTCTGAGTGGAGTTAAACCTGACCCTGCTCGTAGACTAACCAGGCATGTGAGCAATGTGGTTTAGAGTAACTCTGTGAAACATTTTGATCATCCTACAGAGAAAACCACACACCAAACTCCATTTAAATCTTTAGCAGTTTAAGCAAATGAGGCTCATACGAGTATTTTTTCTTCCTTTAGTCAATTTACTGTAAACCACATGAAAACGGTCAAACAAATTCACCCAGTATACCAAAATTTTATGATTTGTTTAGGTTTATGTTTCATGCTATCATAGTAAACACCATGTCTCTCTTAGATTTAAGAGTTATGTTAATAATGCGTGGTAAAATGATATGAATCATAGGCACAGATTGAGTTGCAGAGTCTCCGCTGCATGAATACGCAGATAAAACAACTTTTAAAGGCTATAAAATACGATTAAATCATTCAGGAGGTAGGAAACACACATTACACGTTACGTTTGGGATAAAACATGCAAGAAGAACACTGTTACAGCGCTTTCAAAATATTGTACAAATCACCAAGAATTAGGGCTGCATGATATGGTAAAAGAAACTGCTTAAATTACCAAACAAACAAAATAAAAATTGTTTCATTACATGAGGAGAATAAGATTTATGGGCCACTTTGTTATAAAATAATGGATGCAATTTGGATAATATTGTGATTAACTGTGCAACCACACTAAGAATATCCCTTCAGTTCAACACAGATGCAATAAATGTGAGCAGAACTTGTACAACCTGTCATTCACCATAGTCCTCCTCCTCCTCCTCCTCCTGCTAACACAATGTCTGCTGAAGAGCTGAGATATAGATAAATATATATAAATATATATCTATATATATATATATGGGTGCATCAGATATAAGCAGAATCCACCAGAAGATCATTACCTCTATAAAAACATTTCACTTAAACCCTTTTAAATATGTAATTTTGCTGTAGAGCGAGGCAACGCTTAAATTAAGCATTTTTTGACTGGAGTTTGGTGTAGACCTCTAGAGGGGAAGCTAATAAGTAAAGCAGCTCGTCAGTGAGTTTCTTTACTAATATATAACACCTGAAGCTACCCTCACTCCCGCGGTAACTACTACACCTTCTTCCAGCTTTAATTTTAAACCCACTTTTATCCTCTACGGCGGGGAGAGGCAGCGCGTACCCCGGTTATATACACCCCCCAACCGGGCTCCCTTCCTCTCCGGAGCTGTCACCAGTTATTGTTATTAGCCTCCCTTTAACGTTAGCTCACAAACGGTTGACGTTAACAGTGACAGTTGGAACCGCGGCGCGGGGGGGGGGACGTGGCGAAGGAACAGCTACAATAAAAAGAGAGATATATAAAGAGAGAGAGTTGTTTTACCGCAGTCTGCCGCGTATTCTTCCCACTCGGACAGAGAGCTGCATCCCTGCTTGTGGAGCTCGTTGTCGAACAAAGTGAGAGTGGAGAAATACTCGGAGGAGAAGATCGCCCGGCTCAGGTAGAGGAGGGAGAGCGCCGCCACCACAACAGCCCGGCTGCCAGGGGCCATGTTGGGCTACATGTGAGTGACGCCAGAGAGCGGAAGCTTCGGCTGTTTGACCCGAGCGGACGCGGACACGCCCCCCTCACGTGAAGTCTCTCCGGGAGGCCAACAGGAGAAGCCCGCAGCCGGAGGGAGGACGGTCGGACTGCATCTCCCAGAACACACTGCGGCTGTCAAAGCGGTTCCCTCCCTCCTCCTCCTCCGGTGTCAGTGGGGGAACTGACAGAAAAAGGGTTTCCGTTTTGATTTTCAAATTAAAAACCAAATTGCTCAACTCTCAGCTTAATAATAACATTTAACTTAGTAGTTAAAGGGAATTCATATCGAATATTAGCATGAAAATCGTTCGGGTTAGGGTTCCGGTACGTTAACTATAACTTATTATTATATTAGATCATATTATATTATGTTATATTATATTATATCCTATTATATTATATTATATTATACTGTATTATATTATATTATATTATATTTATCCTATTATATTATATTATATTATATTATATTATATTATACTGTATTATATTATATTATATTATACTGTATTATATTATATTATATCCTATTATATTATATTATATTATATTATATTGTATTATATTATATTATACTGTATTATATTATATTATATCCTATTATATTATATTATATTATATTATACTGTATTATATTATATTATATTTATTTATTGTTTGTATTATATTTTATTAGATCATACTATTTAATATTATATTATATTGTTTGTATTGTATTATATTATATTATATTATATCATACTATATTATATTAGATCATACTATATTATATCATATTATATTATATTGTATTGTATTATATTATATTATATTGTATTATATTGTATTATATGATATTGTATTGTATTGTATTATATAATATTATATCAGTCAAAGTGGATAGACAGTTTCTTTTTATGTGAAGATGAAACCATACTATCATCACTATCTTGTTTCCGCTGCACAAATTAAAAAGATGCGCAGCAGAAATATTTCCTTATGCAATGAATGTGATTATGTTTTTCTCTTTGTGTGGCATGAAGCAACTACACATTTTAATTCGTTATACAACTTTGTGTGATTCCTTATATTATATATATATATAATTATTATGATAATAGTTATTGGTTAGATATACGTGAGGAATATAGATAGCTATTGAGAAAATATCTCAATATTTTGACTTAGTCTCTTAAAATAATAACTTTAAGAACATTTCCTCATTATTCATGAAGTCTGGCCAACTGTACTTTTATTTTGAAGGCGGGACTGTTTTGAACGGCCGTACTTCCGCTCCGATTGCCTCGCATGCTAGCGGCTTTCCGTAGCAGCTCACAGCGCGAAGAATGGAGAAAGATGAGCTTCGGTGTGTCGAGTGTAACGAAAAGGCGTCGGAGTTACACCGGGATTACAGTAACGGCATCCTGAAGATAACCATATGTGTGCGTTAACTATTAACTCATTGAACACCGGTTGTATTGGACTGATAATGCTTACACACACACACACACACACACAGTGTTATTGATCTGTGTGTGTGTGTGTGTGTGTGTGTGTGTGTGTGTGTGTGTGTGTGTCTCTCCAGGAGTCCTGCCAGAAGCCAGTGGATAAATACATTGAATATGACCCAGTGATCATCCTCATTGATGCCATTCTGTGTAAGACTCAGGCCTTCAGACACATTTTGTTCAACACAAGCTTGAATGTAAGTATTTTTATTTATTTACAACTTAATGACATTTCTGCTGCTGTTTGAGCTGTGAGCTGCCTTACTTTCTATCTGTCTACCTAACCTAGATATCATAAATGTGCCCATATAAAAGGAATTTAACTTAATTTAATTTAACTCCAGTTTTATGTTCTTCTCTCAATGCACACACACAGAACAGACATAAACTATACAACGTACAGATAAACATAAACAATAACAACATCTGTAGACAGTAGACAACAGTGCACTAGTACTGTGTATACAATACGCACAGCATGCTGAGTGATTATAAAAACTAACTGAAACAATCTTGTGTACAAAACTAAACTAAACTCACATAAAATAATAATACAGGAAATGTCTTTTAGTTTCTAGTCTTTGTCAATTTGGTTCAGTTTATTGAGAGTGGGATACACGACTGTCAGTCAGTTGCATTCACACAGTGTGTGTATTGACAAATACAACCTTTATTATCATAAACTAATACTGAAACTAATAGAAACTTTAAGATTTTACAACAAACGAAGCTCCAGTGAAACAGTGAAAGCCCCTCCGTGCTGAACACAGAGCTATAATAACACCTCTGCTTCAACCTCTGCAGATCCACTGGAAGCTGTGTGTGTTCTGCCTGCTGTGTGAGGCGTACCTCAGGTGGTCCGCGCTCCACGGCTCCGAGCGGAGCAGCGACCCGGCCGACATCATCAGGTACACCAAGGAATGGGAGTTCTACGGCATGTTTGGATTGGCCGCGCTCGGTAAGATGATAGAAGACGAAAGCACCCAGAACAATGTATGTACTGCGAAAGCTGACGGATCTTTGGTTCCTTTAATTGGCTCTTTGGAGCTCTGAGAACTGGATTAAAATAAAGAAATGAGTGTAATGTAGTTCAGATTATTCTCATAGAGAGTAACACCTCACAGAACTGCATTATCTTTTACTTTCTAAGGTTATAAGATGATCAGTTTACACATAATAAGCTTGCTGAACATTCACTTAAAGAAAGGAAACTTCCAGCTTTGGTTTATTATACAGATCCTATTAAACAGACTGTGTGTTCTCCATTATATTTATGTTAATCTATAAATATATGATTCATTAAAACGTAAATTATTCTTATTTTACACACAATTTTGTAGACTAATGATATTAAATTGTTTTAATTATATAAAACCGAAAAAAAAACAGCAAATCTTCACATTTTAGAAGCTTGAACCGAAGAATGTTTTTACATTTTGGCTTAATTTAAAAACTGTTATTCAAGGAATAAAGGAAATGTATTTATCATTATACAACACCAGGTTGTTTAACAAAATAAAAGTTCGCAGTTTCTTCACGCTCCACACAGAAAAAGATCATAGAAAATAAATAAAATAAACCGATATTTAAAGTTATTTAGATACATGTACATCTTTTGAATTGGCGTCTGAGGTTTATTGAATCATTTTGAGTCAACTAATCACTTCAGTAAACCTCCCACTGTACTGTTGCTCTTGTTGGTGTTTCATCAGTATTTTAACACCTTACACGTACGATTAAATAAGTCTGTCTGTGTCTGGTGGTCGCGTAGAGCTGGCGGCGTTCTGCGGCGGCGTGCTGTGGTTCCTGTGGGCGGTGGTGGGTCGCCTGCGGGGCGGGACCCCCGAGCTCAGCCTGCTCCTCAGAGCCCTGCTGCTGTCCTGCTACGGCAAGGTCCTCCTCATCCCCGCGGTCATCTGGGAGCACGACTACTCGCCGCTCTGCCTCGGCCTCATCAAACTGTTTGTGCTCACCTCAAACTCACAGGCTATCAGAGGTAGGAGGATTATTACGTAAACTTATTCTCCCATTTAAACAGAAGCTTTTATAGGACATGAGCAGATATGTTGTAACTGATATCTGTATTATTTTAAACTTTACTTTAGTGCTTCTTTAAAAATGTTGTTTATTATTGTGGAGACGTCTTTGAAACAGCTTCAGACCTTTTTATGGAAGATTAAAAGTCTCTAAAAAAGAACATTTTAGCAACACTTTAAGACGGATTTTACACAAATCATTGTAAAGATAAATAATAAGAATTGACAATACCGACTAACGATGCTCACATTTAGTTAAAAAGGGACAACACACCACTGTTATATGTTATATCTTACTGTTTATTTTAAAGATTAAGACATTTTCTGATACATCCTGTAGTGACCAAGAAAATATCATAATTTTGAGAGACATTAGGAGTTCATTTTTAATATAAAGACTTATTTAATCCCACGTAAAAGGCCTGCGTGAGACACGAGTGAAGTGCTTCTATTTCAGTCCTCAAACAACATCTTAAAGCACCAGCAGGTGGCAACTAACCCTCTCTTTGTTTGACCTGCCGCTCCTGAATGCACAGACCCCAGACAATAAAAAATAAATACATTACATAACTGAATAGGTTTAAAGTTCACGTTTCTTGCGTTGTATAATTGTTTCTCCAGCAGCAGCAGCGGCTCTGGAAGCATTAATGTGCTCATTGTGTTTGGCAGCTGGTCTGTGAGCAGCAGACAATGAGATGTTATTGAGTGATTTACGGTCTGCTGCCCTGATGAGTTCCTGTACGACGTATTAATAAAGAAGTAGTGTATTCAGTCTTTTCAGTGCTGTAGTTTGCCACTTTAAAGTCTTGTTTCTTCTCCACTGTACCTGCCAGTTGTCAGGAAGGTGGTTGGTGATGGTTTGTTAGGTTAAAATTCGACTTCTCACAAGATGTATTGAAACTTTTTTTGGTTTGCACATTCTCTGTATGACTGCAGACTTTTCAGACGTTCTTTAACCAGCATGAAAACAAAGACTTTCTATAGAAAAAGTCTGCGCATTCTTAATTTTCCTCATCCTTCTTTCACTCCCCTCCCATCTCCTCTCCAGTGATCCTGAACAGCAGTAGACGTCTGTCGTTGATGGCCGTGTGGGTGGGCCTGCTGTCAGAGACCTGCGTGGCTCAGGTCTGTTCAAAGCTTCAGTGGAGCGTCCAGGAAGTGCTGACTTTTGACTGAATGTTTGCCTCGTCAGACCGAGACAGATGTCAGTTATCTCAGGGATGAACGGGTGGTGGTGGAAGCCAACCTGTGTCACAGAGAGGCAGTTTTTAATGAACCCTCTACGCACGGTGTTGGAGAAGGGAAAGGACAAGTCATGTTCTTAAAGGTCTCAAACAGAGACCGAGAGCAGCAGAAGACACTTTTTTTTTTTGCATTTATAAAGAAAAATATCTTTTTATTTGGGTCTGATGTGGAGGAGGAGGCATCGGCCCTCCTCTTGTTTTTCACTTTGGTTTTAAAGTGAACAACGAGCTCCCGAGTCGAGATTCCTGTGAGATTTTTATTTGGATTTGATTACTTTATTAAGAGATCCCCAGAGAGGAGCTGCAGCATGGGAACGTCTCCTGATCTAAATTGCTCTTAATTCCCAGGACCACTCTAATGAATGACACAAACACAGACCCTGAGGTTGTAATTCGACTATAACTACTTCTCTGTTTGGACAGGAACCAGCCAACACTCTTCACATTCTTTCGGCTCATTGTTGAAACGCTTACTTAAACTCTCACATACTCACACACATACAGAAAACACAGGAGGGGGAAACTGTCAGACATAACTGACTTTTCCTCTTTACTGGAACGTTAAGAGCTTGTGATAATGGGATAGAAACGAGGCTGCCAATGTTAAAGTTGTGGTTTGACTTTGATTAATCCAATAATCGCTAACTCTGTAAAATGTCATAAAGTAGTTAAAAGACAATGCATCTTCCAGTTTCCCACAGTCCAAAGTTACGTCTTCAGATTCCTTGTTTTGTCTGAGCGACAGTCCGATATTGTTTATTTTTGTCGTCATACGGCACCTAAACTCACCATTGCATCTAAAACTAATGGTGGTCAATTGCAAATGAAGGCAGGGTCCGCCATTTATTTTTTTATTTATTTGTTGTTTAAAACCCCGACGAAGACCAACGGTGGTCAAAATGTGATTTAGCCTCTACAATAAAGGCTTTTCTTAATATTTTCCTTCCTTGTTGTAATTTTTTTGGATTGTCTTCCAGTTTACAGTGTTTCCTCTATGTTGACTTTGGAGCGGCGGCCCGTCGCTGTTAAATTTCTGCCGCCACGGTATCAGAAATGGGGCAGACGCACAATGTAGTCACGGTTGCCTTTTAAATGATCCTGCTGACATAATGCACCCCCGCTGGCTGCCGCTCACATTGCAATTTAACAACAAGTAGAACTATTCAGAGGTTATTGGGGCTGTCCAGTTTAACTCCACATACTGTTGTGTTGATGGAGCTTATTGTCAAAACGTTAACTTTCTTCCAAGTCGACTATTAAACTAACAGCTCCACCAAAAACGTCACCGCGGTGGGTCCGTTTTAATTGGACAACGTTCAACTTGTCAGTTCTCAGCTCAACGTCCTGATATCAAACATCTGGAAACATTAAAACGGTAAATATATTTGTTTGTGTCGCAGCGAAGTGTCACTTCTGTTTCATACGTAAAACGTTTGCCGGCGCGACGGGACGGGCCTGCCGCCACTGCTAAAAAAAAATCCTAGAGGAAACACTGAGTTTATCCTGTTTTTTTCCGGGCACATTGTTTACAGAGCAACCAGTCATCTCCTTTTCCTCCGCCATTTATTGTTGCAGAACCCTGTTGAGTAAAATCCTCTAACACCAAACTGCAGAAAGTATTTTGCCAGATTTACTTTTCTCATTATGAAACATGTTAAAGCGCACAGTATGTAATTTCTACCACTAGGGGGTCTCTCACATCAAATTAACAACAAAAGACCAAGTTTGAGCTTCTCCCGGTTAGGATTCCTTCAGTGTTCATGGCTCAGGAGGTTTCTACCGGGAGTCCAGTTATCCACAGAGGTCTCCTCCTCTGCAAAACAAACAGACCCGCTGATTAAAACCACTTAACACACTGAATAAATTAGTTCCACCTTAATGATCACTGCTTCTCCCACGCTGTTGGACAGACAAAGGACGTCCCGGAGGGGCTGCGAGCCGAGCTGCTGCTAACGTTAGCTCAGCTTGTTTCTCTGATAACTTAAGATCCAGACGTCCGATGACTAAAATCCTTCATCCGGTTCAAATCTAGAGTTAAAAAGCACCAAGATCTAAACAGTGGATGGTAACAATGTGGCTTCAGACTGGATCAACAGTCAATGTATGACAGCTTCTGGCAGACAACCACAATGCTGACGCAGGCACAAAGGGGATATGGCGCCATCGACAGGCGACCGGTGAAACGCAGCGTTACCTGAATAAAATGACAGATTTCTCTGAGTTTGAACATTGTTGGAAACATTTGGGATAAAGTAAGAACTCAACTACACTTAGAACATAGAGCCAGAGGTTATACACTGTTTAATGAGGAGATGTTAACAGATTACAGCTCTAAATATCTGCTGCAGGTACACTTTAACAAACCTCCACGTACTGACCCTGGAATGTATGAGTCTGTAAACAGATCAATGTTCAATCAGTAAAACAAACATCCAAAGCAGACAAAGTGTCTGTGGAATGAGGGGAATGTATTCTCTGCACTTACCTACCTACCATACAGTATAAAGGGGCAGCTGAACCCGCCTCGGCCCCCAGGAGTCTGTGCAGGAGTCGTGTTGTTATTGAGAACTGCTGCAAAAAAAACCAGACTCGTGACGAGAGGCGAGGCAGAATTCCTGCTGAACAAAACCATCTGTGTCAGCTCTGCCGATCGAGGACTCGCCCTTCCAGATCTAATGATGTTCTCTCAAACAAGATTGCAGATAATGTGACAGACATTCGGAGCTTTTAGGGCTCTAGTTTCAAAACTGCTGCCTGTTGCATCAATTTATCAATAATAATATAAATAATACCGACATAAACAAGTAATCTGTTCTTTCCAAAGTCAGTGCAATTCTTCTTGTCCTCTGTGTCCTTCTGTTGGTGGTTTTTCATCTGCATTTCACTGCTTCCACCATCTCCCATTACAACAAAGTCTGAACCCTGCTGTAAGAAAAGCATCCTCTTTCTGTTGGGTTGTTGTTTTGTAAAGCTGCACTTGCAAAAAGTCCTCCAGTTACAATAAATTGACAAGAAAAACACACCATAAAAGCCAGTTCAGGCTAAGTTAAAACTCTGTTTTTAAAAGACCTGAAGCTGCCATTTAATTCACACAGGAGAATTTTTTCTCTCTGGGCCACCTGAAAAGTGAAAGGGCCAGTGTGCAGGATTTAAGCGGTGTATATCTGAGAACATATCCTGAATATTCTGTAATATTCAGAGCAGATTGTAACGTCCGTTTGTACGTCTGAACTTTCTACTTTTGTTGCTGCGAGAAATAATGTTGAAATATTTTTGACCTTCTGTCATAGACAAACCCTGAAGTTTGACAGGTGATATATTATGTAAATGAACTTGTAGAGCGAGTTTGCAATGACCTGCACAGAAACAATGCAGATCTATGTTACGATATGTGCACTCTGAACTGTCTGTTATCTATAAAGGAGTGAAAAGAGAAAATCAAATATTTGTCTCTTAACAGAATTACTCAGTTTTTATATGGTGTGTGTGTGTGTGTGTGTGCTGCCTCTGCACATGGCTACATGTTATTACAGGCCTGTGAATAGCTGAAGAGACAGCACACGAATGTGGAATGTTTTGTTAGGTGTCCTCACCCTGGGTGGATCTGTGCTCCGGTCTCTGTGGAGAGGAACACCGTCTCCAAAATCAGCTCGACAAAAACACACAAACAACTTATTCCACACAGCAGAGTGATGGTACAATGGTTGCATTATTTGTCAGTTACATTAATGGTTTAATGTCAGTGTTTAGTTACTTTAGATTGATGCACAAACGTGGAATCAACACGTGTTGTGTGTTTGTATAACCTGAGCGAGTTTCTAAATGTGGAGTCTGGAAAAGTGTTGGTCAATTACTGTGGCATGCAGTGGTTTTAATCTGAGTTTGACTAATCAGATTACTGGAACTGCAGTCACCTCGCAGCCATTTACCGGGTCTGGACCGGTGTGTGAGCCAAGAACTGGAGCTGGAGGTTTAAATCCAACCTGAAGTCAGCTGAGCCTCCTGGTGCAATATGCTGCTGTAAAACCTTCAACCTGTGCTGAGAATACGTCACTGATGTGTTGTTGAATGAATGCAAACTGCAGATCATAGTTGATGTATCTATTGTTGATCAAATAACAGTCTTCAGATTCCTTGTTTTGTCTGAGCAACAGTCCAAAACCCCCAAATATGTCATTTACAATTATATGAAACTGATAAAAGCAGCAGATCCTCATTTTTCAAATTTTCCGTCAACTGATTAATCCACTGATGTTAGTTTATTAGCACAAATACAAAGAAGCCTACAGCTGAGGCTGATGGGAATGGCAGATGATTTTTAAGATGGTGCTAAAGTCAAAGGATCAATTAACTGTACTGAGGGGGAACATGGATATCCCAATCCAACCAATAGTTGCTGAGACAATTCACTTCATTACCTTAGTGTTGGATCCATGAATTAATAATAGTTGTCTATTGTATGATTGCAGTTGTTGATAAAGACCAAACACTGGCTCCAGATTGGGCCTCGGGATGCTTAATCAACACACTGGTCCTTTAAAACCAAGCAATTAAACACCTTAACGTCATGGATAGGTACAAAGAATATATTTAAAGCTGTTCCTGACTGTAAATATTCAAATGATGAACTATTAAAGGTCCAGTGTGAAACATTTAGGAGGATCATAGGTGTGTTTTCATTAGTGTATAATCACCTGAAAATAGAAAGATTGTGTTTTTGTTAAGAATGAGCTGTTTATATCGACAGAGCGAGCGGGTCCTCTTCTACGCAGTTCGCCATGTTGAACTGTTTCTATGGCAACCAATCACCGGCTCTAGATGGGGCTTTAAAGGGATCACTGAATCCTACACAACCTATTTCCTGGTAACTTAAAGGACCACCTTCCATACGAGACCTCCGTCATGAACTGGCCTCACTGGGATCGATGGACTGGAAACAACAACGCGAAGGAAACAAGAGTACAACCTAACAGAAGTGAACTCGGGTTGCTTCAGTTTTGCAGAGAAAGGAAACATTCTGACTAAATTTCACAAGAATTACCAATAAAAATCCTGAATTTGGCGACTTCAGTGTTTAATGCGAAGCCTTTTCAGCTGGTACCCGCAGCCTGGCTCGGATGTGGCAATCTGTCCCCATCATCCCTCTCTGTGGAGAGAGTGATGCGCACCTTGGATTTGCTCTCTCAGTCAAGATTATGTTAATCTGCTCTAATCTCCTAACAGACGCTCGGGAACAGGCAGCACGAGACCAGGGCAAGTGGGGCACGCTGCACAACTGTCTGTGCAGACGGCCTTTATTCAGAGAAAATACAGGGTTTTTTTTATATGTATGATGCCTTCCAGAGATTGTAAGAAAGTATTTATATAAAAAGACAAAATACTTGATGAATGAAGACTGTGATAGCTGGTCATGTGACCCAGATGCAGCCTATTTATTAGACATGTGAGTGTGAATTTTACTGAGCAAACCTGAAGAAGCTACAGGCGAAAGGCTCCTGATAAATCACGGTAATTCCAGTGTGCGGTGGTTCATTTTGATTTTTAACTACATATCCTGCAACCTACCAGCACCTGACTGTTGTTGGCAGTGCATGGGGAGTTTAGTTTACTGGTTATAGGACAATATATCTACCTTTTAAGTACATGTAACCTGAGTTTTATTAGACATCTGTTGGGGCTCACTGTGAAACTGGTTCTCTTTCTGACTGTTTCACTGCCAGATTTCACCAAAATTCACAAAGCTGTGACACCAAACCACCAGAAAACCTCTTGCACATGTGGAGAAATGATTGTTGCATGACCCCATTTCTTTGGTCTCACTTGGGGGGGAGGTTTGTGAGAATGTGAATAGAGTCTCGGAGTATGAAAATATAAACAGTGTTATCATCATCAGTAATTCATCTGAAGCTTCCAGCGTGTCGGGCTGCTACTTCAAAGCCGCCAACATCCTGCTGCAGTAATGATCAATTAAAGCGGAACTGCGTCAGTTCGTGGCAGCGACGCTCGAGACCGAAATGCAGATCGGTGCATTTAAATGCAGGTCAGAGTGAGATTGCATTCAGGAAAGAGAAAGAAGTAGGGCAGCGGAGAGAGGGAGAGGACTGCAGTTTGGTCTGAGAGAGAGATGTGTTCTGGAGAGCTTTTCTAGTGTTGGAATAAAGATGATAGGCCTAATTAATTTGGTAATCCCGCTACCATAAAGTGTTAATTGTAATAACCCCTTAACTTTTCATCTTCTGTACTTCTGTACTTCCATAAACATTTCCATTTGTCAAAAACTTGACCAAGTATTACGACTCATATGCCTCGGCCGTTCATTGCATTCAGTGATAATTAACAAATAACAGCATGTTGACACCCTAAACGAAGCAGTGGTGGAAGAAGCATTCAGATCCTTTACTTAAGTGACGTGACATTCACATGGATGTCGTGAGGAAGGGGCTGTCCGTCCACCGTCCATGTGAATGCAGCATTAAACCAGATCAAATACTCCATTACGAGGAAAAACCCTGCATGGAATATATTACTTAAGTACACAAGTAGCCGAGGCTATTATGAGCAAAAAGAAAACATTTATTATTCATTAGTTATTATTTCTTCACAAATTACCCCATGTGAGTGTTTTACTATTATATTTGATCTATTATACTGTTTTAAGCCTAGTTGGTTCAGTTGAGGTTGAGCTGATTTAAACTATTTTACATTCTGTTGTGTAGTTAAATAAAAACATTTTTAGGAAACATAATGCACTGCTATCATGTTCTTTAAGTTCATCATATGTTTTGTACATAAAAACTGCATGAGATAAATGTAGAGGAGTATAAAGCAGCATAAAATGGAAATACAGTAGTAGATAGATAGATAGATAGATAGATACTTTATTTATCCCTTTATTTATCTCTAGCACGGCTACAAGGATGAAATTGTATCCCGTCAGCGTCTACAGGCCTCAGAAAACTTTAAACCAATATGGTGCATTAAGAGAAAGGGAGTTTCCGAATTTTAAAAAATCTCACTTCAACCCTGCAAAGTATGGAATCACTTTATTAAATTCATATCAGTATAATAACTATGATAGGATTGAGACTAATCGTCCAAACAAACAGTAGTATGGTCATTCATGGATCGAAGAACAGGAGTAATGACGGATGGTAACAACAACAAGCTTCACATGTTCTCGGATTAACTCGCTTATACACAAACACAAAACACATTAAAACCTTTTTTTTTTTTTTTTTTTGTCCCACTATAGTGATTTAATGAATGATTATGATGAATGCTATACAGTATAAATATGACGTCAGACGTTTCCAATGACAGGTCGAAACCGATTTAACAGCCGAAAGCCATTCGTTAGAAAAAGGGTGGACGATGATCTGAATATTCAGTACGTCATCATCGGTTGGATTTAATACCTCTAAGGCTCTCTCGTGGGTTTTTATGCATTTTTTTGGGGGGCTTTGTCAGAGGGAGCAAAGCAAACATTAGAAGAAAAATGTTTTTAAAAGGTATAAATCTCCCCTTTTTTATCAAATATCATCAATATCTGAAGGGTTATAATTAGTTATTATTGGTGCATCCGTTATATTCAACCACTAAAGCAGGGCTGTGAACACTAAGGCGTGACTGTGATTACATTAATACCCCCCTCACTCCAACCAAACTACCAAACTGGTTGAAATGCATTCTGGTCTATTGAGGCCACTTTAAGTAGAAAAAAAAAAAGATCTTCTAACGATTTTTTTTTTTACTTCGTGCGACTGCTCGAAGTTGATACAGTCGGCTTTAAAGAAGCCCTCGCTGTTTGATTTAGAGTCGCACCGACGCGTGACATTTACATCGAAATGAATCCATCGTGAGCTCGTTCATCACCTCGTTGTGTCACATTACAATCGTGTTCAAAAATTTTAAGAATTGTTGGGTTTTTTTTGTCCCTTACGACGGAGTATTAGGGCCAGACTGAGACTTTACGAGAATAAAGTCGTAACATTACGAGAATAAAGTAGTAATTTTATCTTCCCGCTGCGTTAGAATGAGGAATGTTGAGCCCCTTGTGAAGTTATACTTTGGTATCGGTTTCACAAATAAGGAAATACTTAATCTTTTGGCTCATCAGCATCAAATTATTATCAGTATCAGGACTTTGGAACAAATGTGCAAACGACTGAGTCTATTTCCAAGAAAGAACCACACGGACTTGGAAGAAATTGTTTCTTTTGTACATTATTCTCGTAATATTGCGACTTTATTCTCGTAATTTCCCAAATTTTATTTATTTTTCCTCTTAGGAATAATAAATAAATAAATAATAAATAATACTCCGTCGTAGTCCCTCCAGGGTGAAAACATGTCGATAATTTCTCATCAGGAGAAGTTTACCCTGAGAAGCACATCACCACATTTACACATCCAATAATCTTTGTTTGTAAAAGCAAGGAAACACACAGTTCAACTATTAGGTACAGTTTGCTGGTGTGTAATTTAAAGAACCTTTCTTTGTGCTGGGTTGCGTTACAGTTCAGTTACTGTACGAGGAGCACCGTGTGCCTGTGTATAATAAAGCCCAAAAGAGGATCAGGTAGTTGCAGTTTTGCAGGATTTAAAACACAGAACCACAAAACGAGTGCAAATGTTTGAGCAAGCGAGGAGCACACCTTGTTATTTCGCAAATGACATGAGCGATTTTTAAGGCTGTTTTACAAGTGTTGGAAGTTAAAGCTGCTACATGTAGAAGAATAAAATAGATTTTTGGGAGAATAAACGTAGTTATTTATTCGATACAGACAATTTCCGGAAGAGAACCGTCTCACTTTTGTGTGAATCAACTCCAATTTCAGAGGGAGGAAGCTTAAAACAACACACTTCCAACAGATCGACCCTCGACAATAAAAAGAAAACGGAGCCTTTGACGGAGAAACAAGAAAACAAAAAAACCCATAAACCTCCTAATCCCTCGACACACCTTCTAAGCAGCTCTGTGGGATTTGCTGTGATGTAATACACTACCATTAAAAAGGGATTTAGGAGGCTGCAAAAGTCATCAGGTTTCAAACTCGGCACGTAGCAGCTTTAAGAACCGAGAGCACACGAGTCAAATGATAAAACGGTTTATGGTTTATGTTTTCGTTCTCCCGCGGGTCTGAAGCCTGAAGGTTTACGAAGGCACTCATCGTGTAGACATCCAATAAAAACGTCCGAGTCACGTTTTTTATTCAAATTATTTAAAACTGCATCAATTATACTGTTTGATCTGATGTGCTTTGGTTAGCTTCAGATTAACGAGAAAAACTGTTAAAGACTCGTAACACATGACGGAGAAAACATTCAATTCAACTTATTAGATGAGTCAGAACCATCAAGTTTAGGTTTCTGGTTCAATATAGAAACTTATGGATATTAACCGGTGTTTGGGTTTAAAGGTGAGTCGGTTGTGGTGTTTGAGAGAGGAAGAAAGCCTCATACAGTTAATTAGAGCTCAGATCAGAGGGGGAACAGGAAGAAATATCCTTTAAATGTTCATTTTAAACTCACATTGTTTGATAGGAATCATCAAACTGTTAAAGGAATAGTTCAAAATATCAGGAAATGTGTTTATTTGCTTTCTTCGAGTCTTTTTTTGTGGAAATTAAATACATTAATTTCAGATTGTGGCAGATTGTGTGTGCTGGCGGTAGCTTTATATTTAAAGCAGCAGCAACTTTCAGTTTTAGTCGATTCTGGCGGCCCCTGTGGACAAAAGCGGTAGTGTTTCCACCGCCTCGCTTCATTGATTTCAAGAGGGAATCCGACCCGGAGGCAAACATTAATAATAACTGCACAGCCAATCTCCCTAATATAGAGTATTAAACTGATATATATACTGAATATTAGAGTGGTCTTCTGATATAACTCTCAGCAAGAAAGCAAATAAACACATTTCCTTAGATGTGCTTATAAAACTATTCTGTCTGAGAGTGTATGAATTTACTGACGCTGTACTCTTCACTTCAGGGCTCTGTACACACTCGCTGTGCGTCTGAGACTTTCACTCGTCAGTTTTTTACAAAAGAAACACAAGAAAGAGATTCAAAAATGAACATTTTGTTGTTCAGAAGAAGATATTAGCGTCTCTTTGAGAGGGCTGAAGGCAGAACTGTCAATGTGTGAGCGGCGAGGTGACTTGTAAAGACATTCCTCAGGGACATCAGATGTCATCACGTAGTGTACTTTTTTATGTGAGCAGTTAAACCAAATACAGTTCACGTCGAGTGCTGCACTTTTTTCTTTGGTTTTGTGTTTCCACGAGCGCACAAATATCGGGCCGGGTCTATACAACGGCTGCTGATGATGATCCGTACAGAGAGTCAGAGCGACGCAGTAAAAGTCTGAGTGACGGAGCAGCTGCTGTGTGTTGAGCTGAGGCGTCGGCGTGCTACAGGTTGCGTTAGGAAGACTGCACAGGCCATTCATATGTGTACGTAATATTCAGACATCCAAACGTCAACGGCAAGAAAAAACACAAACTTTAGAGTCTAAATAAGGCTGATTTCACTCAGAAACACTCGGATCAACCAGAACAGCGTTATTACTTCAGTGTACTGGATGTCTGTTTTATCCTATTTTGTTCACAGACGTACAATAAATGCAAGTTATCTCCACTTAAATACACCTGCTGTTACAATCTGGTTAGATGAAGCCCTGGAAGCTTTTTCCAGGTATATTAAAAACACTAATTATATCCATTATCTGACTTAAATAAGTAGTAATGTAGTGTAACTCCAGGCTGGATGCAGCAGAGGATGTGCTGTTAGGATACAAAGCATTATAAAAAAGTACCCTGTATTCATCCGATAGTTGCTTCCACCAATCAATCAGATCTATAAATCCCATCAATGCCACTGTGATAAAAGGAGCAAGTGCAAATTGTGAGAGAAGTTGATCACAGTTCCTCAATTCTTGGCAACGTGTATTTGAGTATATTAAAGAGTAAAAAGCTGGTTATGTGGAGAGAAAAAAGCTTAATAAGTTATTTTAAATGGACGCTGGCTACTGAGCATGTGCAGGAGAACTGTTGTTCACTACAACCTGAGTCTTATTTTCATAGTTTCCCACGTGAATCCCGATCGGTGAGGGTAATACTGCACACGGAGACTCTGTTTAGCGACGTTCCCAGATCTGATTATCGATGGGAACGACGGCCAGAACTATGAAAACAACACCCAGTGGATGCATCATGAAAAAAAGGGATTACAGCATAATACACCATCAGCCCGATCGAAGCCATCTGGGAACTTTTAAAAACCACCCGGGCAGGAAGAACAGAGCCGGAGCGTCGTCCCCCGTAATGTGTCCGAGCACTCAGAAGCTTTGAAGGGTTTCAGGGGAAGCGAACTATCTCCAGCATCTTTGAACGTTTCACATTTTCAGAGCGAATACGAGCTCCATCGAAGAAAAAGAGGATTTCACCTCTTTCTCCTCATTCTCGGAGGTCTCACAGTTTCTGTCCGAGACCTTCTGGGTTTACGTAAATGAGTCTCACACACACACACACACACACACCGTCTCCACCGGCGTGTAACTGCAGAGTTAAGAGGTCCCATCCTCTGATTTCACCTGTAAAGTCCCAATTCCCTGCAACCTGTAAATGCTGAACCCTTGTACCCGGGTAGAGTTGCAGTACAAAAACAAAACAAAAAAAAAAATGTCCACAGAGAGTAACAGGAAAGCAAATATCTTGTTATTTATATTATATAATAAATAATACAACTTTTGTTCATATATTTTTGTATATGTAAAAAAAAAAGTTCGGCCAAAAAAAAGGGGCGAAAAACACTTGATATAGAAGCAGAAATCATATATATCTATAGATATATCTATAGATATATATGTATATTGCCTAATTCTGAGTATGTGGAGTCGACGATCCATCTCAACTCCTGAGTTTGAGGAGGTGTTCAACCACCCGACCCCCAAAATAAAACCTTCTGCAGCACAAGCAGGGTGCGTTTCACCTGAGGAGGAGTCCAAGTTAAGCTGGAGCTTTATATTTATAGTCTATTACGGCGAGGAGACACCAATTAACCGCTATCTCTCTAACCATTCAGGTTCCTTCTCCGGGAGGCCGAAAGGTTTCCCTCCAGCTTAACTCAGTGCTTCAGTCCCCCTCCAACCCCAACAAATGTGCATCCATCTGCAGAAGAACGCTGAGAAAGAGGCCTCAGATGGTGACGTGAAAGGAGTCCCAGCTGTCGTCTTTGCCGACGCCGCTCCCGTTCTTGGCCGACGCCGCGCCGTCCCCGACCTCGCCGTCCGGCTGCTCCCCGGTGGGAGTGGCGCCCGGGCTCCGGGTAGTACTCGTCGTCCTCGTCGAAGTAGCCGTTCTCCATCATGCTGAGGGTGGAGGCGGCGCTCAGGTCCTGGCAGCTGCCCTTGTACTCCTGGATGGACTCGTGGAGCGACCACAGCTGGCACAGCAGGGACATGTCCTGCTGACGCAAACCCACCTGGAGACGGTGGAGGTTCTGGTTAATACGAGACACATTTCTGATGGACACACTAAAAAAAATCTGCTACTTTTTGGCAAAAAGCAACACAAACTGTTTCAGGGATTCACGCTCTATAAGAAATCATCTTCCAGGACCTTTCCAGGACATTTTCCAGGAGAACACAGATTACTTTTCAGGATATTTGGTCATTTTAAATCCATTTCCAGGTGTTTCCATGACCAGGAAACTAGCCTCTAATGCAGGCCCCTTACTACCAGAAATACCTGAACTCATTCATTTTCATGTCGTTTCGTTTCTTTGAGTCGGACTTTTGTGTTTCTGGATCTTCTGTAAGGAATCATGGAGCATTTTGAGAAGTATTGGTGGATTAATGTGGGTTTTTCAAAGGTTCAGGTTGATATTTAGAAAGCAGGGTGGTCCGATAATGCCGATAATAAAACTAAACTCATAATATAAATCCATTATTCCAGTTTTAGATAACAACATAATGCATTGGTTTGTGCTGTAGACTTCATATTGTGTCGGGTATTTAAAGGAGAGTGCAGGTACAGGCTGTCATTCAACTGCATTATTATACCATAATAAACATAATGACAGCCAGTTTTAGATCAGATTCACTGTCAGTGTTAATATTTAAAGAAAGGGAACCGAGGACGCGATTAAAGCCGGATTCAGAGAGTTGAGATTGTCTTAAAATGCCAGACAATCAGCCAATCGATCTATTATCGATCTATAATGATACTACAGCAACATATCCACAGCTAGCCATCAGGACACGGTTAATGTCGGACCCTGCCTCCAGTAAAAAGGGAGTAAAAGTGATAAAATGTTGGAAATGCAGCAAATTAAAGAAGCTGGAACTACAATTTTTTAGCATCTTAACACTTTTTTGTGAATAAAAAAAGCTATAAATTGTCTGATCGGTTCAGTTCAGAGCAAAATACATTTATAACCAGACACCAGGGCTGAAACAATTAGTCAATTAGTTTATTAATTGATTAAAAAACAAGTTATCAACAACCTTTTTATAACGGATGAATCATTTAAGGCATTAAACAAAGAAAAAAGCTAAACACCGACTGCTTCCAGCCTCTAAAATCTCAGAATTTGCATTTGTAATGTGAATTTTTACTATTTTCTCTCATTTTACAAACGATTTATTCTGAAAACGATGAATTAAATCTAATAAAATAGAATCAACAGAATAAATAGGTCCTTCCTTGCTCTCCTACCTCACATTATAGCATCACTAAGCTGAAAAACAGCCCGTGCGCAGGGTTGAAAAGAGCCTTTCTGACTGCATACCACTCAGCTGACAGTGCAGCATGAACCCAGGGGTCACTGCATTGTCGTCCAAACTAATTTCAGTCGGTTCAGACAGCTGAGAGCGAGCTCTGAAATACAGGAACTTCATTAGACACAGTAAGACCTGTAACAGTTGCAGCACCTGGAGCAGAAATAGGATTTTAGTAAAAGCCTGTAACTAAAATAAAGCAACAGTTTGACCCCTTTTTTTCCAGCTAAATGAGTGGATGTGAGGATACGTGCTGACCGTACAGTCTGCCTTCATAATGCTTCTGTTATCATAATCCCTGCTGCTGGGAAGGGAGTGTTAGAGAGTGAGTAATGAGTGTCTCACTCTGTTTACACCTCAATAACAACATGTATTAGGCCACCAGAGCACTTTATACTCATGAGTCATAAAACTTTTTTTGTTTGAAGCTAAAAAAGGTTTTAAAATTGAGCTTAGAATAAAAAAAAGCAGCACAAGCTTAATGCCTTAATTTGTCTCATCCAATGCAAAGCTGTCCCTGATCCTGCTTTCTCTTGTGTAATTCCTAATGCCAGACTCCGTTTTAAAAAGTCGCGTTTTTATCTCCTAAAGCTTACAAATGACTTTGTGTGATGTGTGGCATATTAACTGATTCACTCTGGGATTTAATAGGATATTTCTATAACCTCGGCTTGTATATAGCTATAATTCATTAAACAGATCTGATAATGTTTTTGGGTTGTTTGGTTGCACCTTTCTCCATTAGAAAGTGTAAGCGAAAGGGAGATCCACACCTGAAAGTTGATATTTTACGTATAAAACGTGGTGTGTGTTAAGTGATATTAAAGCCGAATCTACCAGGAGACTCTAATTAATCATAAAAACAGTTAAATCGTGTGTTAAAATGCGTGTAAATTTACACAAAATCTAAGCAACCGCAAACTACCGCAGTTTCTTTACGGAGTTCGGTATTAATGGGATTTTGTTTTTTTTTTTACCATCTCTTTCCTCAGGAGAGCCAGGGCAGCGTCGAGGTTGGCCGGCTTGTTGGCCAGCAGGTTGTCGGTGTTGTTCCTGCCTCGGCTCAGGTCGTCCTGGATCATGGTCTTCTTCACGTACATCCTCTCCATGTCTCTCCAGGAGCCGCCGCTCGAGTTCAGCAAGCCGCTCAGGCTCTTCGGCAGCGGGGGCAGACCCTCGATACAGGCCATCCCTCCCGCCGAACCGTTGCTCGACTTACCGTTCATCGTTACCGGTCAGCGCCGCTCGTGTTAACGCTCGAGTTTTTTGTTTTTTAACGGTGCTTTAAATCCGGTAAACGCCGAGAGTAAAACGGGCTCCCACAACCGACACCGAGCAACAGCCGTGCTGGTTTTCTCTGCCCGGGGCGGACAGCGACGCCACGTCAAAGTACCCGGATTGAGGTCGGTGAACTTCCGGTGGGGTTATCAAAAATAAAAGCATCAGTCTTTTTTACTTGAATATATATATATATAATTCCCTTTCTCCATCCACGGTATGATATGTATGATGTAATTTTAACTGTTTTATTGAGCAGATATCTTTCATTATATTAGTACATTCTACTCATTTTCATATCAAATAGACTTAGACTTTTCTTTGGTGATCTTTTTGGGATGACTCCCTCCAGCAGCTTACAAAACACTTAAAAAGAGGAAAACAGAAAATAAAAGAGGAATAAAAAATACAGTATAACATAGACAATAAACTCTTAGGTAACTATAGGAAGTAAACAACGATAGTAAACAATAAACTCTTAGCTAAATATAGAAAGTAAACAATAAACTTTCTATATTTAGCTAAGAGTTTATTGTTTACTATAATATAAATTAAATAATTACTAATTCATTAAATAATAGGCACGTAGGTGATATCGACATTAATTTACAGACATAATTAATAAATATCTAAATACAATAAAAAAAGCAATAACAAAGGATAAGAAATAAGAAACAAATACATCAATATATTAATAATAATAATGATGCGGAGATGCAGACATCCCCTCTCCCATTTATCTTCCCTTATTACTTTATTAGTTTAATTAGATTAGTTTAATATCTTATACAAATATACACAGTTGTACCGTATTCTGTTTTATTGTATATATTTTGTTTTATTATATTTTATTCTCTTTCTTCTTGTGCTGCTGTGTCAATTTGAATTCCCCCGACAGGGAATAAACAAAGGAAACATCTTAATTATGCAGCATTGATTGATTAAAATCCTAAAAAATAATATGTTTTAATTGTAAAGCATTTTGAAAATAATTACTTTTTCACACAATACAACCAAACAGTAACAAAATAACCCTGAGAGTGAATCAGAATAATAAAAGAAAAAACATAAAATTATATAGAGAAATGTATGAAAATTGGTTTGTTTCTGTAGATAAATTAATAATAATAATAATACGAAAGAAAATACAAACAATCACTTGTTCATATTCAACCAGATTTGGTAACAACAACCACCGGTAGTCCTACTAAAGTCCAATTTTAAAAACAGCAAACATTACATTGGGCGCCAATAACCAATATAATAATACATTTATTTATAAAGTAACTTTGACAGACAAGAGGCCAAATAAAGGTAAGACAGAAATATATAAATGAATATTAATAATATATAGTGATGAAAGTGAAAGCCAACAACACTGTGAGAATAAATACCCCGGTTTTATTTTGAATGTGAACTTCCGGTGCTGCTCGGTCGTTGTGAACTTGACGAACTGGACTCTGAGTAGTAAAATCCGCTTCCTGTCCTTTAACACAGAGACTGCTGGGCGTCTCCCTAATAAACATCATCTTTATTCATATTAATCAGCACACAGTAATCAATATTATGAGATAAGACCACTGATGAATGTTTGTAATGAGAAATTAGACACAAACAGTCATTTATAATTAATAAAATACCAACAAATATAAACTTTGTCTTGAGTTAAATTAATAATTAATTAATGTTTTTTACACCATAATGTACATTTTAAGTGAAAAACTAGTTTATGAATAAACATAAATAAGAAGTAGAGTTGTTTATTTATTAGTATTTAGTATTTATTCAAATTTATTGATTAGGAAAAAGGCATTTTAATTCACAATATTTTAATGAATCTACAATGTTCTCAGTTAGTTCTGTTTAACATTAAATGAAATGTTTTAATGGAACATTGTTCATTTGAGGGTAGACAGAGTGTGTGTGTGTGTGTGTGTGTGTGTGTGTGTGTGTGTGTGTGGGACAATAGTTTCAGAATAAAGGACAGATGGTGGGCTTCACTTCCTGCCCCCCCCACTCCACAGCCTGCCGCCCCGTCACAACAATAAAACAACAATAACCTTGAAATGGACACAAAAGCATCACACGCACAGCGACATGTGCTGTACCACACACACACACACACACACACACACACACACACACACACACTGGTTAAAGTTGTTACTTATAACTAAATGTCTTAAAAGAGTCGGAAATAAAAACCCCTACATCGTTATTTATTTATTTTTCGTGTTGTTTATTCGTCTCTTCGGCCTTTTAAAAGAGTCGTTTTTAACCTCCATGTTTCTACAGTAGCCCAGAAGAGACAAACCAAACACTGGCTCTAGATTGGACCTAAAGGCAGCTGTGGTGTCTGCGAACTTCTAGTCAGCCTTAGCGCTAACATTACATTCACCTTTATGGTTTTTACTTCATTAACTGCATTTCATTAAAGGTTCAAACTACCGTAAAACTTCTGATAATAACCCGGGCGTTTAACAACGCTGTCACTGAACTTCCTCTGCTTTTAGTGGGGACAGGCCTTTATTGGGGACAGGCCTTTAGTGGGGACAGGCTTTTATTGGGGACAGGCCTTTATTGGGGACAGGCCTTTAGTGGGGACAGGCTTTTATTGGGGACAGGCCTTTATTGGGGACAGGCCTTTAGTGGGGACAGGCCTTTATTGGGGACAGGCTTTTATTGGGGACAGGCTTTTATTGGGGACAGGCCTTTAGTGGGGACAGGCTTTTATTGGGGACAGGCCTTTATTGGGGACAGGCCTTTAGTGGGGACAGGCTTTTATTGGGGACAGGCCTTTAGTGGGGACAGGCTTTTATTGGGGACAGGCCTTTATTGGGGACAGGCCTTTAGTGGGGACAGGCTTTTATTGGGGACAGGCCTTTATTGGGGACAGGCCTTTAGTGGGGACAGGCTTTTAGTGGGGACAGGCCTTTATTGGGGACAGGCCTTTATTGGGGACAGGCCTTTATTGGGGACAGGCTTTTATTGGGGACAGGCCTTTATTGGGGACAGGCCTTAATTGGGGACAGGCTTTTATTGGGGACAGGCTTTTATTGGGGACAGGTCTTTATTGTGGACAGGCTTTTATTGGGGACAGGTCTTTATTGGGGACAGGCTTTTATTGGGGACAGGCCTTTAGTGGGGACAGGCTTTTAGTGGGGACAGGCCTTTATTGGGGACAGGCCTTTATTGGGGACAGGCTTTTATTGGGGACAGGCCTTTATTGGGGACAGGCCTTTATTTGGGACAGGCCTTTAATACCTTTAGCACTAAACTCTAACTGCTGCTTCTTTTGAGTTTTATTCAGCAAATTTGAAACTAACATGATGATTTTGATGCTTCAGATGTTTTGTTTTTCGTCTCTCTTGTTTACCGGTCAGTCAGAATGAATTAACGTTAAACTTTGTGGTTCACAGTTTTAGTAAAATCTAGTGAACGATTGAATTGCGGAGAATCAATAACTGATCTAACGATGTTCATTAAGTACATACTGACAGAAGTTTAAACATTTCTATTTGTGTAGGAGATTAAAACGACTGAAAACTCGCTCTAGTGGGCGACCCGGTGGCTTTTAAGAGGTTTTATACATCGAGATAATTTCTATAAAATCCAGACCAGGCCTCTATTGGAGACCTGCGTTTATTTGTCACAGCGTGTAGCCACAGCAGGCTTTTAAAAGAGACCTGCGTCTATTAGAGACCCTGCTTTTATTGGAAGTTTTACGGTAATTTATCAATGTTTTTGACCTAAAGTGATTCTTACACTCTGAAAAATGTGAAATAAAAATAAAACTTTTAACGTTACATCCTGACCTCATAGCGTTGGCTGCTGACCCTGAATATCCTGTGATGGATAATAAACTAACATTGTGTTTTAATACCATTTAACTCAGCTCAGTATCATATCTTAGATGTTGCCCCCCCCAACTCTGTATACGACCTAATCCAGCTCTTAAAGCAATTAGCCATCAGCTGACGCTCCACAGCTGCACACTTTAAAGAGACTGATCAAGGACAATCTGTTTTATCCTCGTGTGTGTGTGTGTGTGTGTGTGTGTGTGTGTGTGTGTGTCCCTCTATATAAGCTCCCACCATCACCATCATCATCGTCACTGCCTCCTGAGATCACGGGATTAGGCGTATGATTGCCGCCCCCCCGGGGAGGCGTGGAACCGTATCAGGCTCGTATTAATGCAGGCCGGCTAATAACGGTCTAAAGCTTATGTCCCTGCTGGAAAGGCCAAAATATTTACAGTAATTACTTCTTATATTACCCCTTCTTTTTTAATGCTGTTGTTTAATATCAGTTAGTTTTTATTAAATATTCTGTACAATAGTGCTGAAAAAGGGCAAAAAAAATTATAATTTATCAAGAAAAAGGTCAAATATTTGCTCCCTTTCTCTGTTTTCTGTCACTGTTAGTTGGATACGTTTGGTTATTTCTGAGAGGAAGGAGTGTGTGTGTGTGTGTGTGTGTGTGTGTGTGTCAGCAGGTCAGGGAGGAGGACGAGGATGACAGCTTCCTCCCCGAGTCAAACAGGAATGAGATCAGAATGAGACAATGTGTGTAATCTATATCCTTCTATAAGGGATAATATAATAAAATCACATTTAATGGTGCGTTCAGGGTCCCAGGGTGACCAGATATATACGTTACATTCTGCTGCTTTCGAGCCACTAAATGGATAAAACAGCTTCCTCTTCCTCTCTGTTGAAGACAGGAAACACTGAGTAACTTCCTGCTGCGGGAATGTGAACATATTGAGTCCGTACGATGCCTTCAGGTAACGCTTTCCCCCTCGGAAACGGCTACTTCAGGAGCGGGTATAGGCGTCAGTGGTGGAAGTTTACTCTCACTGTGATGTGTTCAGTTGTTTTAACTTAAATTGGACATTTTAATGTAACACAAACTCAATATTTTAAGTTAAAAAAGATTATTGATGAAGCAGCTTTAACTTGTACATTTCTGATTAAATACTTTTTACTACGTATTTTGTTTTCACGCTACAAATAAAAATGAAGTCAGTGTCACTTAAAATTACTAAAAAGACTTTATCAATAATGTTTTTAACTTTTTTTTTAACATTTGAGTATTTCAATGTTACATTACATTCATTTGACAGCTACTTTAAACCAGTAAACATGTTTTTATCTTGTGACACCTTACAAAGATCTGTACGAGCACATTCACTAAACATTAATTTCCCTTTTAAACTTCTGACAGTTTGCGGCCTAAAGAGTTAAAATCATAAATAAAAATAAAAATAAATAGATTTTGAGACTTTAAATTCACTTTACTGATAACACTTCTGAACTTTTACTCGAGTAAATGGAGTATTATTTTTAAGTCCTGCACATTGTTCGATCACTTTATTGAGAAACATCCAGTGAAAGTGAATTTAATGAGTGTAAACTGCGGTACAGTGTTTAAAGTACAGCGTCTGTATGTTCTGAAGACTCGTTGGAAACCTTTTCTTCTCCTTTAAACATCAAACGTTGGTTCCTCACACATCCTCCGTGCTTTCTTCCTCCTCCTCCTCCTCCTCCTCCTCCTCAGTGCTCCTGCAGACTGTGGTAATCGTAATGCGACGGGTATTTGCTGACACTCTTTGTCTCTGCCTCTGGCCGAGCTCCAGTCCTGCAGGGACGGGAGGGCGTAGTCCTGATCAGCAGCTGGCCTCACGCTGTCTGACCTCTGACCTCGCCCTCCTCCCCCTCTTCTTTTCTGCTCCCCCACCACTTTCTGTCTGCCCTTATCCTCTCCCTGTCTCCAGCACAACTCCTTTCATGATGAACAGTTGAGGGGCGTCACAGTGTCGTTGTGATCTGAACCCGCAGCTCCTCTCGGCTTTACCGCTCTGGCAGCTGTTTGCAGAGAAGAACAACCCTTCCTGCAGACGCAGTTAGAGCATGAGTGGAAACACTGAGCAGCTTAAGAGACAGATGTTTCCCTCAGAGAGCAAAAAACAAGAGCAGAAAGAGAGTGAACATGTGGATTTACATTCATCGTGTGGACACAAACAAGACGAATAAATAAAGTTCCTCCTCGGATTTTCACACAGTCAGAATAAAGAGACAGATCAGGAATCAATAAGGGAATCAGACCAATAATCAGAATGGATAATGTGATAAAAGGATGTTAAACCCAGGGTGAGGCCACATACTCAGACTGAGTCATGTGAAGGATTTTGGGAGGCCTGAAGAGTTCGATGTGTTCAATAATTTAAAGGAAACTAGAGAAAAGTTGAAAGACAGATTTACGTCCACCTGGAAAAAGATGACTTGGACTTTTTATACAACGCCACAATGAAGTTGATATATTTGGTTGAAGACCTCGTTCAAATACACAAAGCTGTGTATTAGGACCTGTGCCTAAATACAGCCTTATTTTAATCTGATGCTTTATATTATTCCATATTCATTATTTAGATGGATACAGTTTCATAATTTAACTTTTATTCTGATGATTCTGACAGGAGAGATGCTTTAAAACAAAACATCGAAGCAAATACGACAGTAAAAAATGTTTTATTTGGCAACAGAACATAAACACATTCAGAACTTTCATTTAAAAACAGACACACATAAAAGTGGAGCAGACATAAAGTTAAAGAAGTAAAAAGTTTCCACTCTAAAAGCTGAAGCAGGCACAGATACCTGCTCGCTGCCCGACCGACTGCGGAGGAATAAATAGCTGTGAAGTGTGAAACCTGACTCCCACAGATCAGCTGGGGTCAGGCAGAGTCTCCTGCTGTCTGAAGGGCAGCAGATGCAGATTTTTAAAGAGGATCGATGGAGAGGAGGCAGAAATATCCTCCATCAACGCAGCAGCATCTGGATATATTGATCCTGTTCAATCAGCTGCTTCACTGCAGTGGAAGAGGAGGTCATTCTTTAAATATTCAACAGTTTAAAACAAGAATGATTCAGTTTCTGGTCGAATACACAAACCTGCAACCAGCCAGCAACATAATTTAATGTTTAAAAGTTTAAATGTTTGTTTTTCCTGATAAAAAAATGACACAATTATCTCGAGTTAAATTCTGTAAAACGCTGCTGTTCTCTGAGTGTAAGGCACAAACTGTCAGACAGGCACTCGTACAGTGAGGTAATAAAGAGAACCACAACCATCCAATCAGCTGGTCGAAGACGAGTCAAACCATCTTCTTCAAATCAAAGTTCAAACAGCAACGAGGAGCTTTCATTGGGTGGATTCTGGCGGCCCCCTGTGGACAAAGGTGGAAGTGTTTCCGTCTCCCAGTCCTCCTCGTTCAGGAGAGACAGGAGTCCAGATGCTCGTTGATCTTTGACTCCGGCACCCGTGCCTGGCACGCCGGGCAGCTGACCGTCAGCGCGGAGGAGGATGAGGATGAGGAGGAAGAGGAGGTGGGAGCACTGTGCAGCCCCCCAGAGGAATGTAGGGAGGAGGAGGAGGAGGAGGAGGAAGAGGAGGTGGCAGTGGCGGTTCTCTGCTGCACTGCAGGTGATTTTGTCCTCTGCGCCTCCCTCGACGCCGCCGTAGCGCCGCCTAACGTCTTCTGGAAGAAGCCAAAGATGGTGGCCGAGCTGCTGCGGTCGTCCCACGGCCTCTTCCTCGACGCCGGACCGCCACCAGCAGCTCCTGTCGCACCGGCGCTGTTAGAGTGACTGAAATACTTGGGCTGTGTCGGTTGAGCGGGGCTGCCTTTGCTTCCTGTAACTACAGAAGAATACTTGGATTGGGCGGATTCACTCGGGCTCGGCTTCGCTGCCGTCGGAGAGGAAGAAGAGCGGTTACTTTGCGGTTTGGGAAAGAAGGAAGAAGCAGAGGTGGCGCTCGCTGTACAGTGCGGTGCTGTCAGTGAATCTCTGGTACTGTCTGTGCTGGAGGGGGACGACTGACTCGCTGACTTCCTGAGGGTTGCGCTGTTGAAGAGGTCGTCAATGGACCGCTGTCTGATTTTATTCGCTTCCTGGCTGCCGCCGCCGCCGCCGTGGGGTTTGGGGATTCTCACCGGCGAGCCGTTGATGTTGACGAAGTATCTCGTGTTACCGACGGACCTCTTCACAGGTGGCTTCGATCCCGCGGAGGGAAAGGAGCGAGGGACGCCGGCGCGAACGGGAGAACTGAGGGTTTTAGCCGGAGACGGCGGGGTGAAGGGTTTCTTCGGAGAGGAAGAGGCGGGGCTGGACGAAGCAGGCACGACGGGTTTGTGAGACGGGGAGGAAGCTGTGGAGGACTGGGAATTCCCTCCGAGTAGGAAGCCTTTGCCACTAAACGGGATGATGTTCCTGATGTCCTGTAATCCGGAAGCTGAGAGGGGAAAAAGGTACAAAGTCAGAGTCTGATGGGAGAATGAATTATTCTCTAAAGCAGCTTCTCAACATTTTAAACTGAAACAGTCGCAAAGACACATAAAACGGATCAGGAATTAAAAAAGGTCCCGTAGAGGAACAAGCTCGTCACCTGGAGTCGTACTGGAAGGTTTTCCATTTCCCGGGTTCTTCTTCTCCGAGGGCTTCCCGTCCTTTTTACCGTCCTTCTTGCCTTTTTTGCCGTATCCTTCCGGCTCTTTGACCTTGGCGTACGTCCCCCCACACGTCCTCCTGTGGTCCTCCCACCAGGGGTCCTGGGAGGACGGAGCCCGGTTCATGGCCCTCTTCACGAAGCCGAAGTAGGGCTTGCGGTTCTGGCAGGGCCCGTTGCATTTCCACCAGTGCTGCCGGTACACGTCGACCTCGTCGTGGAAACTGTGGTAGACCTGAGGAGAGACGAGCGTGAAAGGCTGCGACGAGATCCGCTAAATACATCAACCGAAGAGAAAACACCTACAGAAATCTTGGTCCCGGTGGCGTCGTTGATCCGGTTCATGTGCTTGCAGAACTCTGGCCCGTGGCCGTCGCGGTCTCGGTTGTTCTGGGTCACAAACAGCAGCGCGTGAATCATTTCGTGAAGGAGAGTCTGCGGAAGCAAAAGAAGTAATGTTTAATGTAGGAGACGCCGTCTGAAGAAGAGCTGCTGTGTTTTATTTCTTTACCTTTCTTTGTGTTCTGTATGTTTTTGTTTTTGGACCTCTGTAAGTAAATGGTTGTAAGCCTTTGTAATAAGCCCTATATTATGTATTCAGTTGTGTGTGTGGTTTCTGTGTTAATCGGATCCTTTTCTTCTTTAACAGAAGTTGCTGATTCTCTTTACTGCCGATTGAAGTATTTAAAGTATTCTAAATAATATTTGTAAGAGAGGAATTTTAATAAAATACTCGGCGTAACGATCCACCTCACCTGCACCAGGTCTTTCCTGGGTCGGAGCTTCAGCAGAGGCTCACTGAGTCGGATCGAACACAGTCCGCCTCGGCCCTCGTAGGAACACACACCGGCACACCTACGAGAAAAACACAGTACAAACATTATAGACAGGACGCACATAAAACCACACTGAAAGCATCATTTGCACTCTACGGAAGCCCATTTCTGCCAGTGTGATGGGGAAAAAGGATCCTGCAAGTCATTATAATGAGAAACTTATTTATATTTCGACTTAGAACGAGAACGTTTCTCTTTATTTCGAGATAGTAAGGTGCTACGTTGATAAAGTTTTTAATTAATTTATGATACTAAGTCAAAAAAGCTGAGGTTTCTAATTTTTTTAAAGATTTATTTTGATAAACTTTATCATTATTTGAAGATACGAAGTCAAAAAACTGAGGTTAATCATTATTTTAAGATAGTATATCTTTATTTTGATAAAGTTTATCATTATTTTAAGATAGTATTTCTTTATTTTGATAAAGTTTATCATTATTTTAAGATAGTATATCTTTATTTTGATAAAGTTTATCATTATTTTAAGAAAGTATGTCTTTATTTTGATAAAGTTTATCATTATTTTAAGATAGTATGTCTTTATTTTGATAAAGTTTATCATTATTTTAAGATAGTATATCTTTATTTTGATAAAGTTTATCATTATTTTAAGATAGTATGTCTTTATTTTGATAAAGTTTATCATTATTTTAAGATAGTATATCTTTATTTTGATAAAGTTTATCATTATTTTAAGATAGTATATCTTTATTTTGATAAAGTTTATCATTATTTTAAGATAGTATTTATTTATTTTGATAAAGTTTATCATTATTTTAAGATAGTATATCTTTATTTTGATAAAGTTTATCATTATTTTAAGATAGTATATCTTTATTTTGATAAAGTTTATCATTATTTTAAGATAGTATATCTTTATTTTGATAAAGTTTATCATTATGATGACTTAGAGAATAATTTTTTCCTTCCATATCTACAGCCACACCAAACCCCATTCAAAAATCAGCCCATTTTATTTGCAGTAATACCATTAAAACAACCACAGCTGACTTACAGTGTCATTCTTTGGCTCCACTTCACCTCCACACCGCTGAGCTTCCCCCAGAAGAAGGTGGCATTGAACCCCAGAAACATGGCTCTGATATCGGGGTTGGGGTCCAACATCTCCCAGGACTCGTCCACGATGGACATCGGCCTCTCGGGCCGGACGGCCGGCTTCCAGTGGGGCACAACATCGCTGCCACCTCCGGCTACCTCCACCTTCCTCTTCTTACTGCTCCGTCCGAGGCCGCTCTCCTGGAAGCCGCCGGACGGAAACAAAGATGTCTGGTACTCGTTGTTGAAGCGCTCCTGGAGCTGAATGGCGAGCAGAAGATCATCCTCCATTACAGCGGATCGATAGCTAACGTTAGGAGCTTCTCGATGTTACTTTACTGAAGCTCTAAAACAAGAGACAGCCTCACCGAAGTCCGTCAAACATGTTACCCGTGAAAACATACTCGGATTGGTGTCAGGAACATTCATATCTTCACTGTCAGTCCGAGGCTAGCGTCAAGTTTGACGTTCTCTCGAAACGACCCAATCATATCCGGTAGGGATTTCAAAATAAAACGTCTGGAGAAAAAAAACAAAACAACAGTTGCCATCTTTATAGAGGAGAAGTAGCCATTTTTAAAACGTTTTAATGTGTATTTGAATTAAACAAAAGCACTGTTGTGTTTCTGTTCTACAGCATGTACTAATGTTATACAGTTATTGTGATGTTTTACTCTTGTAATGCCGCTCGGTTTCCGCTCTGGAGTTGAGTAACTCTCGCGAACTTCACCAAACGTTCGCTCGTTTGAAACCGTAGAAAGGCATTCTGGGATTTGTGGTTTTCTCCGTTTAAAGTAGTTGGCCAGTCTAAAACCCACACGGGGATGTGTTATTGTAGTTTAATGATTAGATTAATGGGAATCAACAACAAATACGTAGTTTATATTTTAAATACTATAATAAAATATCGATCTTGACTCCTATTAGCGACCAAATTATATTAAAATATGTTTGTTATTATTCAATTTGTTGGCCAACTAATTTGACGTCCCAGGGTGTCAACCAGGCTGGGGCTTCCTGTTTGGGTTGCAAGCGGAAATGCAACCTAGGAGCCTCTGAGAGCTCTTCCTCTGTGCACATTTCTAATAATTCACCACTAAATAAACGCACAGGCGACTGAAGATGTCGGAAACCGGGAACCGACTACGGAAGCTGCTCGAATCGCCGAACTTCGACCCGCAGAACTACGTGAAGCAGCTGTCCCAGCAGTCCGATGGCGACCGAGATCTGCAGGAGCACCGTCAGAAGATCCAGAACCTGGCCGACGAGACGGCTCAGAACCTGAAGAAGAACGTCTACAAGAACTACCGACAGTTCATCGAGACGGCCAAAGAGATCTCCTACCTGGAGAGCGAGATGTACCAGCTGAGTCACATCCTCACCGAGCAGAAGAGCATCATGGAGAGCATCACGCAGGCCCTGCTGTCCACCGACAAGGATGAGACCTCCAAGGAGATGCAGGCTGCTTTCCCCAAGGAAACCGAGGAGGTGAAGCAGAGGACGCTCACCTCCCTGCTGGAGAAAGTGGAGGGCGGTAAGAACATCATGGACACCCCGGGGAGGCATCTGGTCTACAACGGGGACCTGGTGGAGTTCGATGTGGACAACATGTCTCCCATCCAGAAGGTGCACGCTTTCCTGATGAACGACTGTCTGTTGATCGCCACCTGGCTGCCGAACCGCAGGGGAACCGTGAAGTACAAATACAACGCGCTGTACGACCTGGAGAGCTTCGCCGTGGTCAACGTGAAGGACAACCCTCCCATGAAGGACATGTTCAAGATCCTCATGTTCCCGGACAGCCGCATCTTCCAGGCGGAGAACAGCAAGATCAAGAAGGAGTGGCTGGAGATCCTGGACGAGACCAAGAAGAACAAAGTCACCAAGGACCGGCACAAAAAGGAGGAGGAGGTCCCCACGTCTCCCGTCAGGGTCGAGGTGTCCACCAACCCTTTCGACGTGGAGGACGACGAGCCCGCGGACGCCGAGGAGAACGTGGACCTCAGCCTCGAGTGGATCCAGGAGCTGCCGGAGGACCTGGACGTCTGCATCGCCCAGAGAGACTTCGAGGGCGCCGTGGACCTGCTGGACAAGCTCAACGGGTATCTGAAGGACCAGCCGGTCACCCAGAGGGTCAAAGAGCTGCGGCTGAAGGTGGACGAGCGCGTGCGGCAGCTGACGGAGGTCCTGGTGTTCGAGTTGTCTCCGGATCGGTCGCTGCGTGGTGGACCTAAAGCGACCAGGCGGGCCGTGTCCCAGCTCATCAGACTAGGTCCACACCCGTTTTATTTACATGGAGTAGTTAAATCTGTTTGGAGCAAGTATGCAAACATCGGTCTGGAGGTTGTTAAAGTGAGAGTGTATTAAATGAAATACCTGTTGTTCCACCGTGTTGCAGGTCAGTCCACCAAAGCCTGCGACCTGTTCCTGAAGAACCGTGCGGCGGCGGTGCAGACGGCCATACGCCAGCTTCGGATCGAAGGCGCCACGCTGCTCTACATCCACAAACTCTGCAACATCTTCTTCACCAGCCTGCTGGAGACGGCCAAAGAGTTCGAGATGGACTTTGCCGGGAACACGGGCTGCTACTCCGCCTTCGTGGTCTGGTCCCGATCGGCCATGAGGATGTTTGTGGACGCCTTCAGCAAGCAGGTGGGTGGGAGGAGAACTTTGGATACTTTGAGGGTTGTGAAGCTGTAAAGAAAATATCCTAATAAAGTGTTTATTTTTTGTGTCTGGATCAGGTGTTTGACAGTAAGGAGAGCCTGTCGACGGCAGCGGAGTGCGTTAAAGTGGCGAAGGAGCACTGTCAGCAGCTGACGGAGATCGGCCTGGACCTGACCTTCACCCTGCAGTCGCTGCTGGTCAAAGACATCAAGGCGGCCCTGCTGAGCTACAAGGACATTATCATGGAAGCCACCAAGCACCGAAACTCAGAGGAGATGTGGAGGAGGATGAACCTCATGACCCCCGAAGCTCTGACTAAACTCAAGGTGGGTTCGGCTCTTCTGATGATGTGTGTGTGTTGGTTGTGGGTGTCGGAGTTTACGGGGACTTTGTTTTCCTTCATCTGTTGGTGAAGTCACAAAAAGGGATTTATTGTTTAATTAATCGACCAAAAATGAACCCGCAACCATTTTTTTAATAGTTGTTTAAGTCTATCATCAGGAAAAAAATACAGAATATGCTATTTGAAAAAGTAATCTGTACTAAAATGATGTTAATAATAATATGTTTTTTTTGTATAGCACCTTTTACATAACAAATGCATTACTTTACAACAAAATAATTCACATGCACTGAGGGCTTCACGTCATTAAAGACATAATTAACATAAAACAGGGATATAATGCCATAATTAACGGAAAATAAGACTCACTGAATAATAATAACTTTTAAAAAATACATACAATCAAATAAAGTATAACATTTTATAGTGCGAAGCGTCACCCAGCTTTCTTTCAGATGTTTGTTTGAACCTTCCAGTAACCCAGCAGCAGATGATCGCAGTGTAGCTTTGATCCTTGCCCATTAAGACCTTTGTATATAAGGAGGAGGGCTTTAAAATGAATTCTAAATCTTCCAAGAGGCCGGTGGAGAGCGCCGGTGGAGAGCGCTGCTGCAGCACCGATTTCTACCTGTGTGCACATTTTTAGACGTACTGGATACCGAGCGCTGACGACTTATAAACTGTGAGTTAAATCACCAGCTGAAGCTTCACCATATTCATCTGTTTCCCGACAGGACGAGATGCGGAGCTGTGGCGTTGGCACCTTCGAGCAGTACACCGGCGACGACTGCTGGGTGAACCTGAGCTACACCGTCGTGGCCTTCACCAAGCAGATGATGAGCTTCCTGGAGGAGGGCCTGAAGCTCTACTTCCCCGAGCTGCACATGGTGCTGCTGGAGAGCCTGCGGGAGATCATCCTGGTGGCCGTGCAGCACGTGGACTACAGCCTCCGCTGCGAGCAGGACCCGGAGAAGAAGGCCTTCATCGTGCAGAACGCCTCCTTCCTCCACGACACCGTGCTGCCGGTGGTGGAGCGGAGGTTCGAGGAGGGCGTGGGAAAGCCGGCCAAACAGCTGCAGGACCTGAGGAAGAGCACCAGGCCGGTTCGAATCAACCCCGAGAGCACCACGTCTGTCGTCTGAGACTAAAAGGATGGACACTTAAACGCTCTTTTACTGACGTTGTAGAAATAACTGCCTGATATTGGTTGTTTTAAAGGACACGAAACGACAGGACTCTCTCAAAAACACCTGCAGATATTGGCCAATATTAATGAGGAAGGATCTGACGTTAGTACTGCTTTCACAAATCCTTGTTCCTGCACTCAATATTTGTTTTTGAGCAACAAACATCTTCCTGTTTTCATGTCAGGTCGCAGTGATAAGTGAACCAAGAGGCATGCAGCTCCTTAAAGTTGTGTAATAGTGCAGCGAATACATTAAGAAACATGTATTTGTTGCACTATTACAGACGTATATGAGACAGTAGATACGTTTGTTTATTTTCGGATCCGAATTGTTCTGTGCGGTTTTGTGCACACGTGTGTTTTCCGAAATGTAATCACGCATTTTATTACAGACAATAATCTGATGTTAATGGAAAACTAATGTTTATGCTGTTGGAAAGTTTGGAAGCAGTATGGTTGTGACGCTACTGGACCATTATTAGACACTAATAGTATTCTAGCACACTAGGACTGATTTAAAAGGGACTGAAAGCCAAACGCACTGGTTAATGTTCACTGTTTAACACAAACACATGAAATTTAATAAAGATCATGATGCACGAGCGCAGCTGTTTGGTTCCTCTGTGTCTTTATTCCCGCTTGTTTGAATTATAACATTATAATTAACATTTATAACAATTATTTCTGTTATAATCAGTTACAGTTTGCCCAAACTTGAGCCAAAATACACAACTGTGTAGAGCAACACGTGTACTTTGTATTCTGACTTTACTTCCCTGTCAAAAGTCTTTTGATCTTCTACTTTATCAGGTAAAATGTACCCAAAGAATTAGACTCCTAGACCTTTTTCACAGCAAGCATTCTGACTCTTCGTGGCAGGAAACAGACCTAATGACATTAATGATTATAAGAAATACGACACACAAAATGCCGCCATCATTTTAATGAACACCAATCAGTAAAAAAGGGGGTTTTAAATCTTCCGTAGGTCTGTGTTGTGTTGTGATGAATGACGGATCAAGGTTGCAGAGGATTTGATGAATCTAATCCGCAGACTAATCGTCCTGGATGTGTTCATTTTTACTGGATCCACTCCACCCTGCTTCTATGATCAATCAGATATATCGGATATCAGGAATACTTTATTGATCGGTTGTGTTACAGGTTGCTTAACATGATGTTATGAGACATAGAAATAATAATAAAAAGGTTAACATATGTGCATTAAATGACCATATAGAACAATATATAAAAAAAATAGAATAAATATGTACATTATATTACAGCATATATAGAAAATAAGACATTTAAAATCTGCATACTACAGAATGTAACAGAAGTGTAAAGAATAAATATTAATACTACTTTATGTTGAATTGATTTTCTTACCAACATTTCATTGATAATTGATCCTGGTTTAAATAATGGCAGTGTTGCCCCCTTGTGGCAGTTAAAATATAAAACTATGGAATATGGTGGTTGATGGTCAATTAAATGAAGTAATACTATTTACCAATAAACTCAATTGTACCAGAGCATCACAATCACGAGTATAATTACTTGTTTTCAGTTCTAGTGTTGCCTTATTTCCTATAAAATAGTTCTTTCTCTGGTTTAAAGGTCCAGTGTGAAACATTTAAGAGCGTTCTTTATCTATCAAGATGGTTTTGGTGGTTTGAGTTTGGAGATATCGTCTTCAATCTGTCGAATGTAATGGAACCAGATCATTCGAAAAAACTCAACAGTAATGTAATTATTCCAATTAAATATATTTTTAATGGAGCTTAAGAGGGCTAAAATGTGGCCATAGCAAATTGTTAAATCATAGGTGTTAATTTCTGTTTTTTTAACATGTTATTTATAAAATAGATCTAAATGAATGTGTTTAAACTGACAGCATTTAACAACATGCGGACATGCTCGTGAACATGCACCAACGACGTCATCCAGAGCTGAGCTGTAGCATTAGCCAACTCACCTAGCACGGCGGAGGAAGAAAATAGTCCCTACGTGAAACCAAGTCATGATTTCTGGAAAGACACATTGTTGTTGAGTTTTTAAATGTAATTTCTTTAGCAGATTATATTAAGTTGGAAACCAAAAAGCACTTACAGGTAAGAGGAGAAATGTGTAGTTGTGCTTTTGGGATGAACTGTCCCTTTAACATCCTCATTAAACAGAAAGAGGAAATTCTGAATTCAATCATCTGACGAGTGCATCACGCCGTTGTTCCTGCAGTTAAACCAATTTGTGTTCAACAATTGCTCCTCTTTCTGTGTAAAACACTTCCCAGCAGCGATGAAGGAGCATTGCTATATATTTTTAGACCCCCGGTTCATGATTCTGCTTCACAGCTCATCTCATTATAATCACTGATGTGATCGAGGGCTCGAGGAAAAGCCTCTGGGGGGGGAGTTATCAGCTTATCCTCAGAGGAAGGAGCGTCGGGGGCTGTTGGGATTATTGGAGAGGAATTCATCGAGTCAACGCTCTGAAGGAATGTGCAGTAAATATTTCATGGTGAAGAAAAAGATTCTCATCTCAGCATCTTTATAAAATTCCTGTTTAATCTCAGAATAAAAACATTTCATTGTTTCCAGCCTTTCTTTTATTCAACCAGTCGTTCTCATAAAGTGGTACATGTATAGTTTGTGTTCATGATAAATGATTTGCTTAATTTTGATGTACATTTACTCAAATTCTCTCTCTATATATATACCGTAAAACCTCCAATAAAAGCCCTAATAGACGCAGGTCTCCTTTAAAAGCCTGGTCTGGATTTTATAGAAATGATCTGAATGTATAAAACATCTTAAAACCCACCTGGTCCACTGATCAAAAGAATCAAAGGCTTTCATTAAAACGAATCCGAGTTGTGAATATTATCACGTGAAGTCGGTTGCTCACTGTTTGTACGCCGGCTGCCGTAAAACGTACGATATTCACGTTCAAGTGTCACGGCGCTGGCATAGAGAAAAAAATGTACGACCTGAAATTTACCGTAAGTTGTCAAATTTACTTAATGAAACTCAAGAGAAGCAGTATAATTAGAGAGGTTTTCCATCTGAGATTTGTGCTAAAGGAATTAAAGGCCTGTCCCAAATAGAGGCCTGTCCCCAATGAAGGCAGAGGGAGTTCAGTGATTTAAGCAAATAAACGCCCCCGGGCTATTATTAGAAGTTTTATGGTATATATATATATATATACACTATATTATTTACAATTCAGAGTAAAATATTGCACTTTACTACATGTGTTTGATTACGTTATCCTGGATCAAGAATTACACTTTTGGGGGACTGTCTGTCAAAGATTATATAATAAAGAAAGATGTGAACGTTCTACACACTTTAGAGGAGCTTTAAAGGACCAGTGTGTAGGATTTAGTGGCCTCTGGCAGTGACTTGACTTAACCGAGCTCCAAGGAGAAACTATAGTGTCTGTAAGTAGTGTTTGGTTCCTCTGTTCTGTGGAAATATGGCAGTTAAACATCTAAAGGTAACACAAACTATTTTTACTATTTCAGGTGATTAAACAGTAATGAATACAAAAAAACTGAATAACTTATGCTATCAGATTGATTAAAAAAATATCATAATCATAAATATTTCTATACATAATAATTTAAAGATGACCAACTTCAGTGAAAATACGTCTATGGGCTCTTTAACTAGCTGCTGATGGAGGTCGTCTCTCTCTGAAGTGGAGAAGAGAACAGCCTGACTTTCTTCACAATGCAGTCAAAAAATAAGTACAGTTGGACTTTCTTCAGGAACATCTCACAAAGATTGCTGCACTTTCAAAGGTCATTTGGACTCCTGCATTACTGTCAAATCGACAGTTAAATACAGCTATCACACTTTCATGTGTCCTCAAAAACGACTGAAACAAGAGGAAAACTTGTTAGATCAGGTAATAAAAGTCATTGGAGGAGTAATTTTGTATCATAAATTGAACAAAAATGAACAAATGTGGAGTCCTGCAGTCTCAGATTCTTCGGTCTCAGACCTTCATCAGCTCGTTGGGTCTGAGGCACGTCAACTATTGTGATTAGGAAACGTAAGTTGGTTCCAGTTTCAACACTTAATAACAAATACTCTGACTCTTTGAACCCTGTGTGAACACTCACCAACAGGTTCCTCTGAGCAGCCGGCTCTGAAAATGAAAGTTATTGATGTCGACAATGCAGGAGTAAATTGTAAATGTAATAAAGAGATTATTATAATGGCAGTTTAGAGCAGTGGAGGTTGAGACCCCCACTAGGGGTCGCCAAAGCTTCATGGAGGGTCGCGAGGCCTTCTTGATTTTAAAGCGTGTAAGAAAACTTAAAAAATATACACAGCAGGCCTTTAGAAAGAAGAACATCACTGAATCTGTCAAAAAAAAAGCCTTTTAAGTCTGTATGATTGTTAAAAATCATGAATAAATCCATAATACAGACAGAGAATTGTATAAAAAGTTCCATAAACAGGAAATAATCTGCTCAAAATTCATCCAAATCTCTCGTTTTACACAAACTTCCTGCAGTTACTGAGTTCACTGTTTCGGTTCATTGTACAGTTTTGAATATAATATGAAAATATATATAAAAAATGTCACTCAGTCAGTTTAATAAACGATAGAAAAGGGATCTCTTCAGAAAAAAAGGATGTACTGTATATCCTTGTGTATCTTCATGTACTCGGTGCTATCTGAAGTTCTCTCAATGTCCTCCTGGATCCACATTCTTCACATACATTTTATAATATATTATTATTTTTGATTATTATCCAAAACTGTGTCATCAAAATTTGGATATAATGTGATTTTGTTTGTCGTGCACTGGACATCTATTGCATTCTGGGAGAAGGATCCCTCCTCTGTTGCTCTAACTACGGTTTTCTAACATGTTAAAAGGTTTAGTGAGACTTTGTAAAACCCACCCTGAGGCAAACTGTGATTTTTGGGGTTCTGTATAAACAAAATGTGACTTGACGTGTGTCCATGTTCGCTCTGATTTCACCACAGAGCAGAGACCTGTAACTAGGTAATGGGATGCCGAGGGGCTAATAAACGGAGAAGCTGTCCCAGTGGGTGGGATTAACGCTGCTCGCCCTGAGGGACTCCAGTCACGCCGGCTGTCACACCGAGCTCTAACGTCACACCAACAGGAACAAACTGAGCAGTTTCTGGGGCATCTGGAAGATCTAAAACATCTGGAGTTTTAGTTTGTGTTTGGAGTTCTAACTTTATGAATGTTTATTTGTTTTCGTGCTGGTTTAACCTCCATCATCTCCTGTCTCAGACTGACAGGCAGAACAAATGCAGGCAGTCACAATAAATGACCATCATTATCTCCATCGCCTCGACCGCCATCAGTGTCGACATAATGATCGACTGTAAGGAGGAGGAAACACTTACACAAATTAAGGTTTTCTTTCTTCTATTGCTCGATTTCTGGCCTGAAGAGTCACATACTTACACACTTTAATTTGTATTTATATTACTCAAGTATAATGAGTAAAGGGACTACTGTAGATTGTATTTTCTTTATTCAAAACATACGATCAATCAAAACCGGTTGTGGAGTTTAAATGTTGGTTTATATGTTAACTACCTGTTAAAAATCCAGTTGTCTTATTAAATGTAATGTCTGTAGCTGTAAAGTCACTTTTAACCATTAATTTAATTACAGATGTTAGAGTTTATCTTCAGAAACAGAAGGTTACCAGTTCTTTTTGAGCCATCTTTCACATTTTATAGCAGGTTAATTTATTTAAAATGGGGGGTGGGTCTATATTATAGAATTTGAGATTTTAAAATAAAGAAATTAAAGGAATTTTGAAGGAATATTAAATATTCAGAGACATTTTAGTGTCTTTGGTGTTGGGGGTCCCTGGTGGCCCTCAGTGTCCCTGTTTACAACCCCATGAGGGGGATCTGTGGCGTTTCAGAGCCTTTAAATGAACCTGATCAATCAAACCACGTCCCCACAGTCCCCTCCCCCTCTCCCTCCCTCCCTCTCCGCGCCTGCGCACAGCCGCGCAGGGAGCTGTCCACGGCAGTCGGTGCTGGACTGTTTTCCTGCTGAAGCCGCTTCTCTCCCTCCGGTCCCCCAGAAACCGACGGGAGCGATGGAGGAAGAGTTAAAATGCCCCGTTTGCGGTTCCCTGTTCAAGGACCCGATCCTGCTGCCCTGCTCCCACAATGTGTGCCTGGCCTGCGCCCGGAACATCACGGTCCAGACCCCGGAGGGAGAGACCCCGGTGCAGAGCCGCGCGTCGGGCAGCTCCGACTACGACTACCTGGACATGGACAAGATGAGTCTGTACAGCGAGACCGACAGCGGGTACGGGTCCTACACGCCGTGCCAGCTCAAGTCTCCAAACGGGGTGCGGGTGTTTCCGCCGGTCAACCCGCACCGACACTGCTCCCTCACCTGCCCGCTGTGCCACCGGAGCGTCTCCCTGGACGAGCGGGGGCTCCGGGGTTTCCCTCGGAACCGGCTGCTGGAGGCCATCGTGGCGCGGTACCAGCAGAACCGCGCCGCCGCTTCCTCCGCCGCCGCCGCCGCTGCCGCCTCCTCCACCGCGGTGAAGTGCCAGCTGTGCGACCGCAACCCGGTGGACGCGACGGTGATGTGCGAGCAGTGCGACGTCTTCTACTGTAACGCCTGCCAGCAGCGGTGCCACCCGTCCCGCGGTCCGCTCGCCAAGCACCGCCTGGTGCCGCCGCGGAGCCAAGCGGCGGCACCAGGCGCGGCAGGAGGCGGCGGTGGTCAGCTGCCGCCCGCCACCGCGCGGAAACCGGCGACCTGCGTGGATCACGAGGCGGAAAACTTCAACATGTACTGCTACAGCTGCAAAGCTCCGGTGTGCGGGAAGTGTCTGGAGGAGGGAAAACACAACAAACACGACGTCAAACCGCTGGCTGTGATGTGGAAACAACACAAGGTGAGAGAGCACACACACACACACACACACACACACACACACACACACACACACACACACACACACACTCTGTGATGAGTTTACTGTATTTGGGCCAAATCGTAAATTACAGAACCCTGACTAATTCACACATGAATGAAATAATTACTGCAGGCTAAACCCCCCCTTGTGTGTGTGTGTGTGTGTGTGTGTGTGTGTGTGTGTGAATCATCTCTTGAATAGGTCACACAGCGTTGTGTTGGTGTTTCTTGTTTCAGTGGCCCACATCTGTATGTGTGTGTGATGTGAGTAGTGACTGTAGTGTAGGAGGAAGAGGAAGAGGAGGAGGAGGAGGAGGGAGGAGGAGGAGGAGGGTGTAGCTCCTCAGGCAGAATCAGGATTTTTTAAAATGGAAACTAAGCTTTTATTCAAGTTTGAGGAAATGTTGTTATAAAAGTTACCTTTATATATATATTTATATTAACAGTGGTGTATTTAGGTAGTTTTAAGGTCGTTTCTCCATCTGATGTTTCTTTATTCGTCTGTTCCACCACATTTCAGAGGGATATAATGTACTTTTTTACTCCATTACATTTATTTTTATAGTTACTAGTTACTTTTAAGATCAAGATTTCATAAATAAAACAGGTGATCAGTGTATGAAATGTGTGTTTTTGTATATTTAACCAACAACAGTGTATAAAATAGTGACAATGCTGCTCTCAAGTTGATGAATCAGTAATAAAATTCCATTAATATGGACGATAAATAAAACTAAATTTAAGTCCATTTTGCTGCTAATTGGTATTTCTGAAGGACTTTATACTTTAATAATTCATTTTCCAAGAAATGACTCAACAAAACCCTGAAATATTCTGGATATTAATGTTTTCTTTAAGGGTTTAAGTTTGATAACTAAGGAGCCTGGTTCAGGTGGTAAAGTGGGTCTTTAAGACCAAGATACTGAACCCCGAATTACTCCTCATGGCTCTGTTGTTGGGTGAGCTTTGTATCCTTGTGAACACTTTGGATAGAAAGTAGCTGAAATCAGTGAAAACCGTGCAGCCGTAGCAGGAGGTGTGAAGGTGTGCAGCGCTCTGGATCTGGCTGATGTTATTAATTTGGAGCATTAGTTGCATTCATGACACAAAAATAAAGAGAATCATTAATTACCTTGCGCAATCTACTGGGACAAAAAAACCTGCAGATAACACCGTGTGTTTCCATCCAACCTCATCCCTCCTCGACTCTCCCTCCGCCTGCCAAAAATCACCCGCCTGCTTCATTAAAGGATGATTAAAGTGATTTATGATTTAATTCATTTTTTGTAATGATGCTTTCATTAATTTAAAAGTCTGCTTCAGTGGTGGGGGGGGGGGTCAACTCAAGTTCAGTCCTCTCAGGTTACAGCGCGACACCGCTTTGCTTTTAATATTTAAAACTTTATTACATTTTCTTTTGGTGCCTTTTTTTGGGTATTTTTTCCTGAAGAAAACGTTGATTTTATTGTGAAAGGGTTGACAGGATGCCAGCAGCATTTTAACTGTATTTTCACAATATCATCACAATATTAATTATGAGATTATGGGTTTTTAAAAAAAAAGCCCCCAGGGGCAGGAATCCAAGGAAAATTAATACTAGTAGCAGGACCAGCCATTTTTTTAATCAGACCACTTCCTGTGTTTAATACAGCATTTCAGGAAGCCTTCATCATCATCATCATCGTCACACCCAGACGTCCTGAGTGTGAATTAAAAGCCATTTTTGTCCGTCTCCTGCTGAGTGGGTCACTGTTACTAATCTCTCGTTCTTTGTGTTGATTGGAAGCCTCCAGTCTTTCCATTCGTCGTTCACCCGTCACACGTTTCTGACTCTTTCCTCGTCTGCACCCTTTTACCTCTCCTTCACTGCCTCTTATTTACCCTCTCCTCCTCCTCCTCCTCCTCCTCCTCCTTCTCCCCTCGCCTCATTTACCCACCCTCTCTCTCTCTCCACATCCCGCCCTTCCTCCACCCTTTCCTCCCTATCACCCCCCCCCGTCCCATAAATGGACTGTGAAGATCCCATCAGGAGTACAGGAGTGAGAGGGCGTTGATAAGTAACGAGCAGCGTATGAATAAGAGATGGTTGCCACTTAGTTAATACGGTGTCCTTCACGTCGAGGGAGATCGATGGCTGGCTGTCTCGCTCTCTCTCCCTCTCGGTTTTTGAAGTGTCACTCAGCGAGGTCAGCCCTGCAGAGCTCTCTCCATCTTCTTCATTCAGTCTGTTTTAGTTCGTATACTTATTTCTGTTTGTGCGGCGAACAGATGTTTCTCAGGAAGGACCAGATTTTGGGGAGTTTTTATTGAAGCTTTCCCTGAACGATCCTGATCCCTCTGTAGACTGATCAAGTCTGTATGACAGTAAACAACAACAACAACAACAACCAAGATGATCACAAAACAGATCATGCAGTACAGTCCACATATTGAAGAAGAAAACATGCAGTTGACTGATACTGAATATTTCAGGATGATGCTAATATTGATATTTGAGACTTGAGTTCATGTTGTGATTACTGAAGAGAAATGTTGGTTCACTGACTGCTGTGTGTTTGTTTTGTTGGCTGCCACCTCCGGCTGTCCACAGATTAATGTTTACGTATTAATACATGTGATACTGGGTTGCCTTGCTGCGTGTCACCCCCCCCCCTCTCTCCCCCTTTCCTGTCTAACTTGAGCTGTCCTGTCAATTAAAGGCAAAAAGCTCCCCCACAAAATATATACATATATAAAAAAAACCTACGTGATGCTGTAGCTCCAAATCATACTGATGAATGGCTGCCATGACTCAGCAAAGGATGACTGTGTTTACAGTGTGTGTGTGTGTGTGTGTGTGTGTTGTGTGTCTGTGTGTAACCTGGGGGTTTACGTGTCACTCAAATTCCTTGGGGAGTGAAGCAGCTGCATGAGTGTGCGTGAGTGTGTTTTAGCTATAAATATATATAATTAGTCCTTTTTTTGCAACATTTTGTTCATTTACCAGCACGAGTGTGTGTTTGTGTGTGTGTGTGTGTGTGTGTGTGTGTGTGTGTGTGTGTGTGTGTTATTTTTAATGCTTTACAAATCAGATATTTGAGAATTCAATAACGCAGAGAGATGTCAAGGAAAGACATTTGGATTGTAAATCAAACATTGGATACATCATGATGCATCCCCGGGGGTGACAATCCCACTGCTACACATTCAACTCACATACACACTCACACACATACACACTCACACTCACACACACACACACACACTCACTCACATTCGGAAGGCATGAATATGCATAAGTGAAGCGGATGAACTTACGCCGAGGGAAGCGCAGAGGAAGACACACTGATCCAGTTTCATCCAATCAGTCGAGCAGAAAACACACAGTCTATTTAAATCTCACACACATACACGCGTATGTGCGTCCATACGTGCATTTCAGTGTGCGTATATATGTGACCTGGCATGAAGCAGCTAGCTCTCTCACTGCTCTGAGTTAAATATTAAAAACCCACAGATGCAGAGTTGCTGGTTTTGCTGCTGGGTGTGTTTCAGTGTTTGCACCGTCATCTTAAGATCATTTTAAATGGGATATATATACGCATCTGTGCTGCACAGTAGCAAAGGTATGTGCTATCTCAAAGCTGCTAATTAATGTTTTGTGCCATTAAAATGTGAGAAAAAGGGAACTTTATCTATCTACAATTAATGTTTCTTGGAAAATTAACGCTAATTAGGTCAGAACAGCCTCCAAACCAGCAGAGTGGGATGCTGGGAAGGAATCAGATGCATATGGATCTGCTATCTCTTATCTACCTCCTCCTTAATTGTTTTAGTCATGAATATGAGGGAAACTACAGAAGCTGAGAACGGCCGTGCTTGCGATTATGCTTTTAATGCTGTTATCTCACAGATCAGGAGTTAATTTATCTCATTATCTCGAGGAAATAAAAGGCAGATTTTTAGGGATAATGAGATAATTTGTCACTAGAAAACGTCTTTTGTTTTTTCTCGAGATCACAGGATATAATTAAGATCATGATAACAGGCTGGTATCTTAAAGGAGGTGTAGGATTCAGTGGCATCTAGCGGTGAAGTCGCAGCGTCTGTATACCTAAGAATCCTATATTCCATTTCTGACAATAGTTCATCCTAAATGTTACACACTGGACCTTTAAACTATACATTTCCTGGCAATTTAATGAAGTACTGACAATATATATCAGGAGATTTATTGAATGAGCTCATTATTTTCATGCTGTTTTTCCTGGCTAACTAGTTAACTAATTAACTGGCACGTCGTCTGTCATCCCTCCATACATTGTCCATTACGGTGACCCAATGCAAATCTATAATACGCAATCTATGCATGCTGATCTCCGATAAACATAAAGAGGAAACAACCTTTTGTTTTCTCGTGATAACAGGTTGATTATCTTAAGATAACAAGGGTCATTTTCTTGAGATAACCGAATAATTCACTTGTGATCTCGAGATAACGGCCGTTTTGCGTCCTTGGCGACTTCAATTTTAACACAGCTTCGAGTTCAAGGGTCGTTCAAGAAATTATATTTATCCACTATTAAATTACAACAGCGGACATCTTTTGGGAGAACTGTAATCTCTGAAACTCAGATTGTCTTGGGGCCAGTGACGGTATTGTCAACTCATAGGACGGCCACTCCAACGTTTAAATACACCAAGAAAGCGCAATATTCGGAAAATCTTCCCTTTCTTCAGTTCATACAGGTTATACACTCAATGTTACACTCCACAAGAATGGCACATGACAAAATACTAGACCCAGACAGTGAGAAACTATACAAACAATCAGACTAACAGACATGGAGAAATGTCATGGGCCAGAGGAAGGGGGATGGAAATGCAAATGTCCTCCAGGCCGACAGTTTGAGATCCCTGCTTTATAGGGTTGCAGCGGTATACAGATATCAGGGTATACCGTGGTATGAAAATAGATGGTTAACATACATTTTACTGCTT